CAATGAATGACTGAACGACGTGGAGGGGGGGGGCGTGCGTAATACGTCACAGGTACGCAAAGTGTTGACATGAGTTCATCTTCAAATAAATAAAACTACTTTGACACTGGCACTCTGAAACATTTCGACTTTGTGCAATTTTTAATATCCAATCATTTAAAAATACACATATGACTTCACAAAAATCCTTACAAACCAGCCAGTTTTACATAATAATAAAACAAATCATCTCAACAGACGGTAGCCTAATGGAGCTATTGGTTTATGCTGTTACCTTTACAGTGCATCTGCTCATTTCTTCTTCAGAGAGAAACCTGCATATTATTCAGTAGCATGTATGTTGTTCTTAAAGTAACTGATCATCAGTAACCTCGATTGCTGATCTTATATAATAATCACTCATTATAAAATATAAAATTTTCAAGTTACAAAAAGAAAACACTCCTAACATTAAAATAATCGTCTATTATACAAGGTTCAGTGTTGTGTTACGTAATGCAACTACAAAAGGAAAATTAATCACAATAAAGCAGTGGATTTACTGCTTTATCTCTTCCTCTTACAACTTTTTCCCTCATGTGTTAGGAGTCTACTTTTAGATAAACTTTTTCCCTGGAGAATATTTTAATGGCCTCCTCGATTTCAGAAAGCCTACAATCAAGATGAGCCCGACGTGAGCGAACACTTAGACTGTCAGCTTTGAGAGGCAGCGACAGCAGCTCTGTCACCAGGGAGCGATGGGCTGAGGAAAAAAACAGAAGAAAACAACAGAATTAGTGAAACAAATATTCACTAGATGTTGTACTTCAGGGTATAATGTTGCCATCATTCATGTAACGGCAGAGGCAAAACACAACAGACACATACTCTCTTTGAGGGACTTGAGTGTCTCCTGTCTCTCACTCTCACGCATCAGGGTGTGACCAGCCGGGACTGTAGGATCAGGTGCGTTCCTCCTCCTCTCCTCCTCCTCTTTATGCCACTGCTCCTTCCTTTCTGCAAGACTGAGTGTGTGTTAAAGTGTCAATGAAAACGAGGAGCAGGAATGAGCAACAGCAGTAAAAAGGGAGTCACAAATGTCAAAACACACCTGTAGCATGTTTTTACTAAACTCACAAATTTTGAATTGATTAGGATACTGATTGCGATTGTAAGGTAAGGAGGTAAGACATCGAATAAGAATACTCACTACTGAGGCACCTGTCCCTTGACTGCACTGGGGACTGGCTTTTCTTGGAGGTTCGTCAGGGATTGGGACCGACGCAGCACAGTTTTTGCTGCAGCCCGGGCATTGTGTTTTATGAAGTCTATGGACTCACCTTGCACCTGTAACCGTATCCACATATAACAATGTATGGAATTAAAACAAAAAGGAAACATTGCAGATACCCAACAGAGAGAAAAATGCATATGCATCTTATTTGTTCAATAAACAGATAAGAGTTGCAAGCCTTACAGCTGTCTTGTCAACTTCTTTGACTGAAAAAAATATTAAATTCAATCAATATAATATACCTCTTATTGTATCAATAACTAAACATTTATTGGCAATTCTCACTTGCAAATTCTGATCCGGTGTAGAGTTGCAGGAGGTCCTTCGTTGCAAAGCTCGAGGAGAGGTTTTTGAGTGGGGTCTTGAAAGGGCAGTAGATCCACCATTAGAGTGGGCCTTCAGAAAGTTTTGACACTGTGGTTTTGCAGTTGGACTAGAAACCTGCATGAAAGAGACTGGATTAAGAGTAATGCAGAGGAAATATTAATAATTCAAGGACTTCCATCTTTCACAGACATGCCCCTTACCTGTAGCTGGACCATCACTCTGGATGGGACGTTCTGGTATTTGGAGGAGGTCCAAAGAGCTTTGACTGGAACCGGACGAGACTGTGCTCTCTCAGCCTCGTGCTCTTTGCAGCGTCTCTGGATCTCCCTGAGCCGACGCACATTCTCTTTACCAAAGTCGTGTATCCGCTGTTCTAAGGGTCAAGAAATGTTGTTTAAATTACTTTTTAATATTTATATATGGCTGTGGTGCTCAATCAAAATTAAAACTATAAATGAGAAGATAGACCATCCTTAAAGACAAAACAATTAATTTGCACTTACTCTGTTTGGGAACAGGAGTGATAGAGACGCCGTCTAGTTTGAGTAGTTCTCCTACCACCCCTCTCTGTCCTCGCTCCAGAATATGGGTGGCATTAGGGCTAATACGGGGACGATGTTCTGGGGTACGAGCACTGTAGCAGCCAGGGTACAACACAGGATCTGGAGCGAGTGGCCCTGAGAGGAGCACCAATGTCCCATCGTGATTACCCTCTAAACGGCCACGAGCTGTAGAAGGAAAGAAAAAACTAAACATGTCATTTGAGGCTAATGTTTGGTTCATAAAACAATGAGCTCTCCAAATGTTCAAACACATGAAGACAAGATGTTACTCTAAAATACATATGATGGATCTGGGCCCTCATTTATTAAAAGAACTCCCAATATATACAATGCTGGCTGTCACAATATCAAACTTTCACAAAATGATCATCATGGCCAAAACAATTCAAGATAACAATGTTATTGCAATTCAGACAAAACATTGGGGGAAATCTTTAACTTTTATTGTGTGTTTTGTCACTTATTTGGCAAATAAATTACACTCGTCTGTTGCACTGGCAACCAGCCATAACTGCACCTACTATGTTGTAGTGTGAACCTCAAATCGCTTTAGGTGATGTAATATTTTACACAATACTATCATATGTGTATTATTAAAATATCACTATTATCATCAATATCGGTATATCACGATATCCCTAATTCCAAGTTGTGTAGTGTGAAATCTAATAAAACAACACATCCCACTTAAGCTTATAGATAATAAGTTTAGGACCCAGAATCACTAGAAAATAACACACTTTACTCTCTTAAAGGGGGCTTTTAATATAGCAGAGGCCTGTGGCTGCATCTAACCTGAAGCAGGTCGTTTGTAGTACTGAGGAAACAGAGAAGGATCTGGGGGGATTGGCCCAGATATTGATGAAGGTCCTTCACACATCTGAAGCTGTAAATTGGAAACAACAATAAAAATAAAAAAATAGACAATTGATTAATGTTACTTAACAAGCAAGATATAGCCAGCGATTTCAATAGGCCCGCTGGTGTTGTAATAACTGTATCTGTTGATCAGTACAGACCATTAGTGGCTATCTATAATAACCTGGATAAAATGAACAGCTATGAACACCGCTGTGCTTTACATTGCTTTCTAACCTTACCTAACGCTATATTATTGATTAGCTTGTTGTAAAGTTAGCTATTAGTTAGCTGATTATCACCACGGGCTCTGTCGACGTACTGCCGCCACACAAACACAAATATCTGCAAAAGCTTACGCGGACCAAACAAGTGCAACCGATTATGATGCATAAATTAATCGAGTTAATGAGTTTACCTTTAATATCTTGTCCTATTTATCAGTGGAGGATTTCGTTCACGCAGACCGATGACGCCGAGGTATCAACACTTGTTTCCATATGCGTCACCATGGTAACGGTGCAGCCGCTCACAGAGCTAGACCGGACAGAAGTAAACATTTCACCCAAATCACCTCACTGTGTCTCATTTCCTACAAACAGTTGGGTTTTAATGAGAAATAAGACACAGACACCGCGGTAGACCACCAGTAACAGCCTACAAATAGCCTGCTACTTCGCATTGTCGGTTAAAATTGTGCCGCATTCATTTGGAGACTAGCCATGAACTACTTCTTGTTAATTAACGTACACTAATAATAATGCGATAATTATATCAATAATAATAATAATAATAATGCCTAGGCCTAATACATAACTCACACCCAATCAACTGGTAGTTAGTCTCTTACCCCTCTTCCTCTGCCTTTGGGGCAGTTTTGAGTTCTAGCAGGTGTATTTCTGCTGTAATCCCGGTGTGATGTCCTAACGTTCCCTGAGTGTGGCCTTTCAGGTTTGCCAAAAAAAAAAAACCCTCGTAATTCAGTACGACGGTCACACCCAACCCCCAACAATGGCCCTCTTCTTAACTATTCCTAACCTGAATTAAAGCATAGCCATCTGATTGCTGGAGCATGCTGGTAAAGATACACTGGATACATTCTGAGATTAAGGTCTGCCTGAAAGCATAGTATAGGGCACGAAAAACCCTTTCGTCCTAGGGGATATTATGCTAGAGGTCATTGCCCCCGAGTGGTGTAAGAGTTTTATTACACCAAAACAAATGCAGCATTTCCACAGTTGTGCCTCTCACTGTTGTTTCACAGTGGCAGTGACTATAATAATATAAATATATAATACAATTTTGTTTGCACTGCATATAATAAGCTCTGTGTTGCAGCTGTCCCATTAACTCATTTTTAATTACCAAATTGTACACAAATCTAAATAAACTGTATTTCAAGTGACAATGTATTTTTGGAAAAGGTAGAGTCCGTTGCCTCAGGGTAATAGGCATAATAATCAAAATATTTTATAGATAAATATTGGACATGAATAGTCCATCACAATAAAACGTTACTTTCAGTTACTTCATCATAATCAACTTTATTGGCCAAGTATACACATATACAAGCAATTTGACTCAAAAGAAATATACATAGACATACAGCTAAAACAAGGAGAACAAGCCAAACAAGAATAGGTAAAAAAATAAAAATAAAACAAAGAACTTTAATGTACACACAAGTGGGTGCAAAATCTAGGTGCGTGTAAATAAATAAATAGTAAATAAATATATCAAAGGAACAATGAACAATTCACAGTACACATGAATTTCCATGAATAGCCTATCATAAGATCATTAGACTGATATCATCGGACAGATCGTCCAACCCAAACTACACATACTGAGCACTAAACATCTCCTCAGCGTCAATGTTCACAATGTGAACACTTAGTACATATGTAAAACATTTACGAACAGTCTCTGCAGTTTGATAAAGTTGTTTTTTTTTTGCTCAATGTCAATTACACAACGGCCCCGCCCTCGACCGGAGGTCTGACTTGCGCCTGCCCAGTCCGCCTGTCTCTGCTGTCTCCTTCACTGTGTCCCGTTGCACCCAAAGGCGTTGTTAGACTCTGCACGCTCCGCCCCATAAATAAAGGTAAGAAATAACTAACTATAGCGGATTGCTATTTTCAAAAAGTTATTGTCCTCTTTTAGGTTTATCTGCATAAGGATTTAGTTGTTGTCAATTGTCGCTTGACTGTCAGTGAGATATGAGTCACACATAAAGGGGCGGGAGTGCAGCAGCAGCCGCAGCGGGTATGCCAAGGTTTTAATGCCAGTCCAGGCCTCTATAAACCATTAGTTCGCTAAAATACTCATCTGGAAACGGCCTGAAGACGAATTTCCCTTAAAGGGAGTTTTTTCTGACCAAAATGTGGTTGCAAAATGTGATGGTGACAGGGTAAAGTAGTAAAGTATTTTCGCATGTTTTACCATAACATCCAAAATGTAACACTGAAAATATATAATTCTTTTAGTTTTATAAGAAGGTAGCTGCAGTTGTGGTAAACCTCCCAGCAGACAACAGACGTTTTACAGACGCACGAACAATGGAAACCAGAGGTGGACGCATCTGGCAAATTAAAATACTCCATTAATGGGACATGGCAACGTGATGCCATAAATCTTGTCTTATCTGGCTGTTTGTGAAGACGCACAAGGTCCAAGAGAAAGCTACATAAGTAGAACCGCTATCGTTTGTCACCTTTACGCACGCCCTTCAGACACAGTGGTAGTGACCCACACTGGGTATTTATTAGGTAAATTAAAAATCATGGCTATCTTAGATGAATGAGTGAAAATGAAACCTGTATAAAAACCTGTTAAACTGTTAATTGCTGGTATTAGAAAATGTAGGTAATTTATTTTATTTTTAAGACAAAAAACCTAATTAATAACATTATTTGTCCCATTGATAGACAGGTTATTACACACACAGCAGACTCCAACTGTTGTCATTGTACACCTTGAAACACACTGGATGTGACTCTCATACTGAAAGGGTCATACATTGGAACAAGTATATCACTACCTCATGCACTTTACATTCAAACTATAAATTGTCTCAGTGTAACTTGACTACACTTGACCTTATCTTATACCCACAGATTCCTCCCGTTATACACACACACACACACACACACACACACACACACACACACACACAAACACACACACACACACACACACACACACACACACACACACACACACACACACACACACACACTTGGTTCCACCTTATCTGAAGGTTTGGCCAGTGTTGAATAACTGCCTGTTTACACAGTTCTATAGTTTTCTTGTTCAGTATCTGTTCAAAGGGGTCTGTTATCATTAACCTGCTCAATTCTTCAAGTTAAATTATTAAATAAATGTCAAATTTTTTGCCAAAATTATCAGTTGTTTAGATAGTAAGACAGATGAAACCCCAATACCAATTATCATGATTGATTAGACATTAATTAGGTAAAAACATCAAACACACTGGCTTCAACTTTACAAATACAAGCACTCAATGGCTTTTCTCCAATTTATATCAACAGATATGAACACTTAAGTTTGATATATTAACTGAATAATCTCTAGTAGGTTCCTCAATAAAGATAACTGCAGGTAGTTGCAGAGCAGTAGCAGTTTATGTAGCCTTACAAACTCTGTGAGAGGACAAACAGAATCAGTCAACTGAAAATTATTATAACCAAAACACTGGCAATTTACACTGATGTATTTATAACATATTAACATCTGTACCTGAAGTAATATTGCATTAAAACTAATATAATACAAAAAAATGTTAAACCAACATGGTAAGATAGGTAAGTGAAAAAAATACAGACTTTGTGCTGTTTTTAAAAAAACTGTATTTTAAAAATGTTCTGTTTTTGATTGTTGACAACCATAACCACCATCTTGTTGTTTTCCTTTCACATACCTCTTTTGTTTATGGGTGTCATTTTGACCTTTGAGCTCAGTCAAGGCTGTCATATGGTTGCAGCTCATGAATGTATTAGTGAGTGTGAACTAGAGTATGTTTGTATATAAATACAGCGTAGAGGTACAATACAGACAAATAAATCCATATTTATAGGGGTTTTAACTGGCTGAACCTGGAGGAGGACACACGTTGAAACTCTAGTCACATGTGTTGTAGTGTTAGGTTCACCTGAGCTATATTTAGAGCCGACCGTTGAGGCTGAGAGATGAAGGCTGGGAGGGACAGGGTCAAAAATGGACTGTGCAGTGGAGGAGGTGTGGGGGTACGGAGTCGAGAAGGAGTGAGTGTCTGTTGGGTGAAATGACAAAGACAGTCCAGAAACTGCACGTGGTCAGCTGGCACACAGTTGCTTAGAGAAACACTGAGACAGCCAGAGACAGACATGATCAGGTGTTTCTGTGTGATAAAGACGGAGATCTTAAATACCTCGAAAATGTATTTTCTCAGTGAATTCCTTACAATAAGCGATGGGTTCCTGCAAGACCACATAATGTTCTGCAGAGTTCACTTGAGAGATTTCTGTTTTTGTGGTTTTGTCTTTGTTTTTCTCTCGGTTTGAAGTGGGTGGGGCTTTGTTGGAAAATGCTGATGTCACATACCTCCATGCACCAATGAGAGTTTAGCAACATTTCAATCACACTCTGACGAACGTTGTTGGGGTTGCTTGTTTATCTTTCCAGTACTGTCAGTCTGTGATAATCGACTTCTTTCACAGCAGCCATTTTGACAAGAAATAGTAGGGTAAACACAGGTGTTACCAGTGGTACTAATTAAGGCTCTGTTACATTCAGGTCAAACAGTGTCAGGGTGCTGCTATGTGAAAACAATGTGAAAGGGAATGAACATGCAGAGATTTACCACCTGAATCTAGAGCTTCCCTCAGATTTATGGAGCTTTATAGTGAGTTTCGGCTCATTGCGTGGCTGTCCGATCCACAACTTTACTGTTTTGGTTCACACTGTACACTACCTGCCCAGCATCTAACAGCAGACAGACACATTGACTAGCTGGTGGTGAACATAGTGCAGCAGTTAGCAGCTAAAGAGACAGATATTTCCTTCAGGAGGTGCTAGAGAACAAAACAGCTAAAAGAGAGTATTGGACTCCATGAGGTGGACAGAAACCGAAACACACAGACTGCTGGATGTGTAAAGTAGCAACTGTTTGCTAATAAATTCACCATTTCAACCAACTTAAGATGTGATGTCAATGTCCTGTTTTTTTCCGCTGCACCCAAGTGGCCAAAAAAAATCTGTTCAACAAACAACTAGGGATGATTCCCAACTTCAGTTCTGACAGCTGCTTGTTTAGTCATAAATATTTTATTTAAACAGAAATATTCCTGATTTGAAACCAAGTTTTCACAGAAGATTCAAGAGAGATTACAGTATATAGGACTCTGCTTATGTTTCCTGTAGGTGTCATGCGCGAGATGAATGACCCTGTGTCAAGTGTCAAGTTACTGCTACACAGCAGCTTTAACTTGTTGATGTAATAATTGTGGGCAGAAGCTTACCTGTATGATGTGCTGCTCTTGTATAACACAGTGGCACAGAAGTCAGATCATCATTTTTTACCCTTAATGCAGCTAATCAGTATGCTTTGTCTGATAAAAATGCCATCTCTCAGTGGCACACAAGGGCCGTACATAGACCTTATCATGTTCAAATGCTGCGCACAAAGTACACACATTCATCATCTGCTGGCCTATGCACATACCGTACAATATGATGCAATAGTTGGCCATTTCCATGCATAGAAAGGAGCCCTGACTGAATGTTAAAGAAACATAACAATATTCACAGACAAACCCACATATTGTTCTCTGTTGCTGTCAAAACAGTGCAGGACTACTTGCCAAAGTTTTCTCTTGTCCCTCCTTGTAATTCCCTCCTCTAAAGAGTCATGGAAGAAAAAGGAGTGGAGAGTATGGTGCAGCAGGACAAGACAGGAAAAGGCAAGCAGGCAGAGAACAAAGACCACTGTGTGACATGCCAGCACCACGCACCTAAGGGACATGGTGAGTGGGGGGGGGGTATAGAGACAGAGACAGATGATGCATCATCAGGGTCCCTGGCTTGAGCTTTGGCTGCAATGACATTAAGCTCTTGAGGCCAGATTTGGATATTCCACTGTGTTTGATTGCAGTGACAGCATTTAGATTTTCTGCACTGGTTCAATCATCGATTCATTAGTTTATACAGGTTGCATTACCCTAAGCAAAGTCTCCCTCTGCAGAAAAGATGTGATCGGTGAGATTAATAGTAAAGAGAGCAGCAGGACAAGAGCTCAGAGAGGAAAGGTCAGTAGTAAAAGAAATAAACCAGCTTTAGGTTATAAATCAATGCAGGATATTCTAAATGTTCCTACAAAGTCACCTTGTCAAAAATGTCTTCATCACACACACACACACACACACACACACACACACACACACACACACACACACACACACACACACACACTAACCCAGGGGACCCTGATGTCTGTCTGAAGCCCGGTGCAGTGCAGTGGTGTGCAGAAGTGGTAGTTGCTGACTAACCAAACCTGCTTCTGCTTAGGTTAGCTCTGCTGCATTGGCTTGCATAGTGTTTCTTTACACATCATACATATTATATCTCCTTTCCTCCACAAAAAAGCACAGCATACTGGGAATGTTATTCATGTTGAAATACAGTCTTGCAGCAAAATGTCTCTGTTGTCTGGCTGTGTGATCTTTTAAAAATATTTGCTCTTGTACATTTCTAGTACCTCCTCATAGAGAATCACTCCCATTAGTTTAACATCCTCTGCTGCTTGCTAATGGACTGCTGCCAGGCAATCAATAGGGGTCACATGGAAGATGGAGGGGGAGGACAGGCCCCCTCTAGATGGCAAAGGGTCTCCCAGCTGAGACAAATATTTATACTGATGTATGCTGTCTGGTTGTTTGCAAGTAGATCTTTGGTAGAAAATGCTATCTGTAGTGCTTCGTGTGTGAGGTCAGCTCTTTTCATGTGTTCATGCACATGCAGGTTGCATTGCTCAGCTTCCACAAAAGTGCAGAGCTCCATGTGAGGTATTCCGCTTGTATTTGTTTGTAGCATTTGTTCCAGCATTTGGATTTAAAGGGGCACTCCACTGATTTTTCATAAGTTCAGTTTAGTCCTCATGGGGGGTACTACTCAGTCTGTGATAACACTTGTATACTGACTATAATAATACATTCTGTGACAGGGTTGAGAGAAAAGTTGTTAGAGGAGTATAAAAGATGTGGGTGTAGGTAGGGATTGACACCATGACTCTGTGGAGTTGCATTAAGGGAAATTTATTTATCACAACCCATGCTACTGACTTCAAAAATCTGGATATTTCCCTAAAATCTGTCCATTGTGAGACCTCCAACTTTATGAAAATACATTATTCAATTGCTGGCGTATCCCTTTAATTATGCATTTAGACAGATTGATGCAGTGGATTTGTACTTGTATGTCCCTTTTATTGTTGTGAAGAGATTGTAAAAACCTAATGTGCATGTCTGTTTCCTCAGGCACAATGGCTGTCCCTCCTGCATACGCAGATCTGGGCAAATCTGCCAAAGACATCTTCAACAAGGGCTATGGTAACTCAAATTCTCTTAACGTATACTATTGCTATGATGTTACTTTTTTTTTAATATTAGAGAACATTTTGTTTGCTCTGTCACTTTAAATGCAAGTTTATTTTTGCTGCAGCTGTTTTAGAGCCACGCCGTGCTGTGCAACGATGTGAGTTATTTTTCCAACCTTCTGTTCCTGTGAATTTCCCTAATGTCCTAATGTGTCCCCAGGCTATGGAGTTCTGAAGCTGGACGTTAAGACAAAGTCCCAGAGTGGTGTTGTAAGTACTACTGTTGTCTCTGTAAGCATTGTGTGTTTTAAGTTTCATGTTCAGGCCTCTCTCTTAGCACTCTGTGGTGTGGATCAAATGGCTGACTCATTGCCTCGCAGCATTTCATGTCAGAGTGTGTTTGCTGTCTGACATGTCCCCGGTCTAACCTACAGAGTCAGCACTGTCTGCAGTCTACACCTTACTCTTTTTCCTCAAGCAAGATGTTGTGCCATGATGGGGAAAGAGTGGCACTGGGTGTTTAGTTTGCTCCAGACAAGCTGTGTGTCTGTTGCTGTAAACCTGTTGCCATGGTAAAACCATAATGAGCACTTGCATTGAGAGTTTCCTTCATGCCACAAAACTCAAACCTCATTGAAAAAAACATTGTAAACATATTCCCTCTGCATCTAAACTCACAGGTTTCCGCTTTCTGTCGTGCTGCTTTTCATTTTCCCACTTAGCAGATACATTTCCGCATGTAAACTCTGTGTGGTTCTCCCTAACTTTCTCTCTTTTCTCTTTTTTTTCTGCTTTCCTCTTTGGATGTTCCTGTCAGATGGTAAGAGAGAGCGTGTGCGTATGTAATGATTAAACACAGGTGCACTGCAGGGTAAGCCAGCGATACCCCATTATGTGTTTGTGTGCAGATGATGTGTGCAGGCTTTCTGCCAAGTGTTTTTTTTTTTTACAGCAGTAGCTCGTCTAAGTGGCACCTTTATCTCAGCTCCAGCGACTGTAGCACTGATTCCTCAAACACACTCACAACCAACCTCTCCCTCACAGTCCTGCCTATATTTTCAGTTTTCCTTATTTCTCCATCTTAAAGGTGTAGTTCTTCTTTTAATTAACCAGCCATACAAACTTGAGAGGGATTGTGTGGCAGAGGAAACACAGAGAAGCAATGCTTATTTCCCACGTCTTTGTTTTTTCTTATTTTCTTTTCCCTGTATGCTTTCTCATCCCTTCTTCCTCTAGTTTCTGTAGTCTCTAATGTGGCAATGTACCTTTCTGCTTCCCTTTCCCACTTCATTTTCCATCTCCCCCTTCATCACTCCATCCTTCTTTTGTTCTGCAGGAGTTTGCCACCTCCGGCTCCAACAACACAGACACAGGGAAGTCAGGAGGCCACCTGGAGACCAAGTACAAAGTGAACGAGCTGGGCCTTAACTTCAACCAGAAATGGAACACAGACAATACTCTGACCACAGAAATCACCATGGAGGACCAGGTAGAGTCAAACAAACAAGATAGTAGTCATTTAAATTACTAGGCTATTTAGAATATACAATATATTCACTTTCAGATAAGAGTATTAGCTCATCGCCTGTGTCTCCTTGTCTGTGTGTCTGTCTGTAGCTGGCTAAGGGCCTGAAGCTTAGTCTGGACACGTCGTTTGTGCCCAACACCGGGTAAGAGCACTCCTGTTCATGCTTAGTAGTTTTCAATGTCTTCAATAAATTAACCAATACAGATATAAACATATAAAATATGCAGCACCACGTTCTAGATGACTATCCCTCTTTCTTTGTTATTCCTTCTGCAGCAAGAAGAGTGCTAAGCTGAAGACCGGCTACAAGCGTGACTTTGTCAATGTGGGCTGCGATCTGGACTTCGACATGGCTGGTCCCACCGTCCATGCAGCTGCTGTGCTGGGCTACGAGGGCTGGCTGGCAGGCTACCAGTTGGCTTTTGACACTGCCAAATCTAAACTGACCCAGAACAACTTTGCCCTTGGATACAAGGCTGGTGACTTCCAGCTTCACACCAGCGTGTGAGTTACTGTATCTTAGTAAAGAGGGGCATCAATTAGAAATGGTACATTGGATGAGGTTCATACTAATATCCATGGCTGCTAGTCTTTACCCTTTTCTGTGTTTTGTTTTTGTATTTCAGTAATGATGGCACAGAGTTCGGTGGCTCCATTTACCAAAAGGTGAATGGCAACTTGGAGACAGCAGTCCACCTTGCCTGGACAGCTGGCAGCAACAACACACGCTTTGGAATTGGAGCCAAATACCAGCTGGATAAGGATGCCTCCCTGTCTGTAAGAACTGACTTCAAAACATCATGGACACATCTAAAATGACAGATTCAAATGGTTAAATTTAGGATTAGCAGTGACATTGACTGTAATCTAAGATAAATGCACACAATGACAATGCTATCATACTAATGTTTAACAGGTATATTTGTTTACAATGTTCCACGTTAGCATGTTAACATTTGCTAATTAGCTCTAAACACAAAGAAATGTCATTAGTTTTGCAAGTATTTAGTCATAAACAAAAAGAGTGAAAATCTTGACCTGATAATATAATAATAATAATAAAAAGTCAGGGGATCACCAAAGTTATTCCAATTCATTCTGAGGGGGATATCAATGTGTTTACCAAATAGGGTGATAGTTTGTTAAGCTTTGTCACTAACATCCAAAAATGTCAAACTGCTTGTGGCACTAAAGGAAAAGTCAGAGGATCACCAAACTCAGAAGGCTTAATCCTTTGGGGACCATTAATGTTTGTACAAAAGATCATGGACATCCGTCCAATGTTTGTTGAGATACTTCAGTCTGGACCACAGTGGTAGATAGACTACCAGACCAACAGGCTAACATTGCCTTGAGCAACACTGCGAGACTCCCTAAAACCACATTCACTGTGCGTAACTACCTGACATACTTTTCAAGCCGTCGTCTTAACTCCTCTGCAGTTGTTGACCTGATGTATCCATGTATATGATATGAATTATGTAACTGCATTCTAGTTCCCATCAATCTACTCTCTTAAACAGGATTATCTCACCTGTCCACAATGTTTTGTTTCTCCTCACAGACCAAAGTTGACAACGCCTGCCTTGTTGGAGTTGGATACACACAAACCCTCCGGCCAGGTTAGCTGATTTGCCTATTACTGTTTTCTATAACAACAATCCGAACAGCATAGGCGTGGTTATATGATACATAATCTGACACTCTTCCCTGCAGGAGTGAAGCTCACCCTCTCAGGTCTGATTGACGGGAAGAACGTGAACGGCGGTGGACACAAAGTCGGCATGGGTTTTGAGCTGGAGGCATAAAAAGATTCATTGGGAGGACAGACGAGAGGAGAGGAAAGTAACCCAGGAGAAGATTGAAGAACCCAAATGTGAAAACACAGCAAAAGGTCCACTCAGTGACACGTAAACACATCTTCCCTCTGAGTCCTACACACATATGCACACATTCTTTGGCCTTAACCCTGAAACCCCAAGCAGCCTCCAGGACCTCCAGTACTGTAATTTTAAAGGAATCAGACATATTTTTATGTTGGTTATTTTTTTAAATTTGACATTATTTACAGGTCCCACAACCAACTTTTGAGCATACATTATCAGAGTACAACAAAAGAACAGACTTGTCAACCAGGGAATTCATGCAAACCCCTGTTCTCCAAACAATGTGCTACTCATTACCAGTTTGACCAGACAAAGTGCACTTTAATAAAGCATTTGTGTCTCAGACATATCTGTATTCTTTCTGAAATAAGATTTGAAGCACCTTCTTATTTTGACTGTGTGGTCAGATCATTTTTTGTTCAGACATACTCTGGGTTTTAGACATTAATATGATTATTAGAGGAAGCTTGTTTTGGTATATTGTGGTTTTGTTGCATGCTTTCAAGGCAAGATGGACGTTTTTTATTGACAAGTACAGTGACTGTAAACAAATGCAATAAAAGCTGGAGAGAATTAAGCAGAAAAGACAAAGAGTGGCTGATCCTTCTCAGACTGGGTGGACTGACTTTGATTCCACCATTTGACCTCAATAACACAGTTAAAAACTGTGAACCTTCAGTTGCCTAAATGTCTATTTTTCAGGTCCTGTTTGGTAAAAGGGCCGATGGCAATTTGGAACTCTGTCACCTCTTTGTCTTGTCTTGTTTTGTGTCCTATACCTGTTCAGCCTTTACCACTACATTTCACTTTATCTGTGCTGTGCTTTGTATAGGAGAGTTAGTCAACAGTTAGGACCTCAACCTGATTTTACTGAATTAATGGAATAAAGAATGGAAAAACACTATGATCTTGTTTTCTTTATTATTGATTTGGTTGGCATAAAAGAGGTGAAGATAGAGGAGAACCTGTGCCCTCTTTCTTAAAGAAAACATCACAAACAGTACAGTAAAATACTGTATTCAAGATACAAAATTCAGTTTTTGCTTTGAAAATGATGAAAGAAATGTCTAACATTCTGTTATTCAGACATTACAAACTTAACAGAGTATGTACATAAGATAGACAAGATATCACAGACACTTGACACTAACATTTCTTATCATTTTGTATTATCTATATACAGTACAGACTGCCTCCAGTCGTTCAGATGAAGCTGTGCAATATCAAATTGCTGTAGCAGTCACATTAGCTTCAAATATAATGGTGGTATGGTGGTATTAAAAAGTCAATTTGGTTAGTTTTGTAGCTGTTTTCACAGGTTTGCTACAGTCCATACATTGGCTCAATATCTGCGTATGCACTGTTTAGAGTAAAACAAGGAAATGTTTAAAAATTGAAGTTTAGACTAGAAATTTGAGATTTGTGTTGCTTTTGACTATACCCACAAACACCCAACCTCTTAATTATTTACACTTAATAATTATTGCAGGGATACTGGGCTGCACCGTATTGTGCCAGTGTTCCTGTTATTGTGGCCAACCTCCATGCAATTATCAGTGAATGTAAAAAACAAAAAGGATCACTTTCATACAGTATTTCAACATACAGTTATACTGTAATATTAATTTTACATGTCACCCATTTCATTAAATGATTGTCTTACTAAAATAGTTGCAATAAAAAATGATGGTCCAGTGAGAAACACATAAAAACGGATAAACACTTACATTTAAGTTCAGAACAAACAGTTCAAGGCAGAGATATCTGTAGAATATAACAAAAAAACCTGTTTATTTCGGATGATTGTGCATAAATCTTAAAATATAATCTTTCATGATAAAAGTCCACCAAACACAGTGAAAGAAATATAAAGAAATGTTTTTTGAGGATAAAATGTGCTCTTTATGTTTGTCAGTTGTTTTAACATAGTGGGAATATTTTCTGCATGGTTTGTATCATCTATAGAATAGTTGATCTGTGCATAAAGAAATGTAATTTTACCCCAAAATGTATTTTTATGTTTTGTTGAAATTACAAATGGGTAAATAAATAACGTTCTGCTTTAGTAAATTCTGGTTAATCCTAATTAAAGATAGATTTGCTTCAGTGCACTACAGGTTGGCATTAATTTTCCTCGTCTACACTGTCAGGCATGTGGGTAGATTTACCATCTCCTTAATGTCATTAGGCAAATATGTGCCAGCAGCTATTACACTATTCACATTGTTAAACAAACCAGCTTATACCGACTCCTCTTGTAGTTTGACATCCCATCCACACAGAGGCAGTAAAGTACCAAAAGTAAGCAAAAAATGAAACCCAATTTAAGAGAGGTCACTGGAGAAATTCTGGCTTCCCTGCAGCCACGTCCACTCGCTCAACATCTGGGACAAAGACAAATGTTTTTGTTTTTTTAATCGTCATCACAAATGATTCAGAGAAAAACAATGAACCACACCTTCGTTATCAGAACAAGATGACTGTGAGAATTTATGTACCTCCATACTGCTCTCCGATTCCTGGATGGTGTCATGCAGCAAACTCTGAAGTCGACTCTCAAATGTCCTGCTCTCCTCCACAAGAGACTCGTCACTGCAGACACACCCAAAGAGATTCATGCAGATGTTTCTCATACGTTTGATAGCATGTTATCTGTGTTTGTACAGGAGGTGTATTTGTGCCTTCTGGAAAGCTTTGGTGACGATGTCTGTCTTTAGCGTGTGAAAGTTTCGGTTTACAAAGAAAACTCACAAATTTGACTCAAGTAGCCGGCAGATGTGTGAAAAAACTGAAAACTGTAATGAGCACAGAAGTATCATTTACGAGAGCCTTGAAAGATGTCCTTGAACCACCAGTGTGTTAGTGCACTTACATCTGATGTAAGCTGTGTCTGGGGGTCAGTAGAGGCGGCACTGAAGAGGGGGTTCGTAATCCATCGGGACTCCCACTCACCGGGCTGCGAACTTTACTCTACACAAGACAAGATGATGGACTTTATTCTGTGGCAGTTATTACAGCATACAGCACCTGCTAATTGTGGAATTAATGAATTGTTAAGGTTATGTTGTTGACTTGACTTTTGGCTTTTGTTGCTTTTAAGTAGAGCCGATATTCAAAATGAGTGTTGGAGGAGATATACGCAGCAAGTGGTACTTGAGAATTTGGTGAATTCAACCACACAACCGGCTGCTATTCTATGATTATTATTTGTGGCTGCTCATATCATGATACACAATTATATGCAATTAACAGCTGCGTCTGTGAGCAGTTCATGAATCCTCACACAGGCGACTTTGAGCAGGTTCCACAGCTCCCTCTGTCGTTTCTCCTGCAGACCCATCAGGACTTGCTCGCTCTCAGCCATCCTCTGGACCACGCCCTCCACCTTCGGCAGCAGCTCCATCACGCGCTGGCGGCACACTGCGGTCTTACTGCATAACGCACACAAAAATAGAAAGAAAAGACATTTTTGGTTTCTCAAGTTGTCAGCGTCCCCTCCCCGCGGATTAGTTCATCCACAAGTGAGAACATAGAGCTCTAGAAGTAGAGCGTCCAGGCCCTAAGCCATTCATTTATGACTTAAAAACATTATTAACCGCAGACTGGACGGTTTCTTTTAAAAATAAATCTGTCATTAATAAAAGGTTGTGACTTTTTACACTTTGTTATAAATAGCAGTACAAATTTAATTAATTTCTGACCTTACACTTAGCCATCACATTACAGTTGTAAATGTTAACAAGTCACCAGCAGAAGTGTTTGACCTTGTCTCAGATATTTTTATTTGTCAGAGCTGGAAACAGGTGTAGCTAATATTAATATTAATGATCTTTCCATGTCTAAATAGAAGCATTAATGCAGCCACCATTACTGTATTTATTTACGCCTGTGCTTTTACTGCTGTGACGTGTGTTGTGGAAAAGGCCTGTTTCACCATTACGATTCCATTTTGTGACTTAACTTGTTTCCAAGCCTGTAAATTGGCCCAAACTTTGCTATATAAAGAAATATAATGGAGCATTTCTTGTAATACTTTGTTTAATTACACAGAAATTACACAAATTCACAAATGGGAGTTACGCACTGCACCTACAGAGCTGCCCAGGACTCGTTCAGTTTCCAAACCCACATTTTCCCAAACACAATAATATACTGTATTGGTTTAACAGTGTTTTGTGTGTGAGTACCTGAGGTGTGTGTAGAAGTCTCTGAGCTTCCTCTCATAGAACTGCACCGCCTGAACCACCAGGCGCACCACCTCCTGACTGTCCCCTGCACACCTCTGGTCTGAGCAGTGGGAAGGAAAAGAAAAGCCAGAAGAACGTAAAAGGAGGTTTATTTTCACATGAAAACACTGTAACAGGTGTTACGTAAGAAGAGAACAGATGCGTGACATCCAAACCTCTGGGTTTCTCTCTGAGTTTGCGGAACAGCTCCATGGCCTTTCCTTCGCTGAGGAATAAAGAGGAGAAGAGAGCAAGGTGGCAGATCACAAAGCAGTTGTTTTGTTTTGTTGTTAGACCAGAGTTTGGTTCAGACTTACAGAGTGTCCAGGGCCTCTCCACTCCTCCACGGTTGTCTCTGCACATCCACTATGTCTGGCTGCAGCTGCATCATCTCCTCCTCCAGTTCACTCACCTTGGCCTAGACACCCACACATGGGTTTTTAGTCTTTTTAAAGCACACATTAATACCCCGTACACACACACACACATATACACACAGAAACACACTCAACTCTACCTGACCACAGCTGACAGCAGTCTGCTCCATCTCCCTCCACACGCACAGGAGTTTCTCTGACGCTAGAAAAGGTTAAAAAGGACTAATGTTAGTCAGCAGCAAGCTAAATTGTTCAAAACACTCAAGTGCACTTTCCACCTGAGGTAAACAGGACGGCCATATTAAGTTATAAATAATTACAATTAAAGGAAAGATTATATGCGGTTTCGGCAGTTGTTTTGTAAACTTCCTGTTATCTATCTACATGTTTTTGTAACACAGTACCGATCCCGGTAGCTGTCTGCTCCTGGTATTTGTCCATGTCTATATGAAGGCTGGTGGTGAAGAAGTCAAGCTTGGCCATGAGTCTCTGGTACATGGACACCATCTCATTCTTCTGTTTGGACAGTGAAGAGTTGTGTCTCAGCAGGCTCATGCTGACAGAAAGAGGAAAAGAAGAACAGTTAATGCATATGTGTGTTGTGTGTGGGAGTTTGTGTGTGTATTTTGTGTATGTCGTACATGGCCGCTTTCTGCCCCTGCTGCAATCTTTGCCAGTCTTCCTTTAGGGAGCGGATGGTGTGCCACGCCTGGCCACAAGTCCTCCTCAGAGGGCTGTAAGGCAGGAGGTGCTTAGGGTCCGTTTCTATGAGAAAGACAAAGAACGAGAGAAACACACAAAGCAAAGGATGTTTGTTAGGGTCATTTTATTTCATCGTGTCAGTTTGTAGTCATAAAAAAAAGCTTTTCCCCCCACAGGGTTTTTAATTCAAGCAGAAAATAAGTTTGTGGTTCATATCAGCCTAAAAAATATTTCATATTGTCTACAACAACTAACATTTGTTTTGTCTGTTTTTTAACTGCGTGACCAGTTTAAATGTGGTAAAGTGTGTGGTGTGTTTGTATTTGTGGAATGTTATAAACCTTTGTTTGCTACAGATTTTATTTTCTATATTTAACAAAACACTTAAGCACAGACACTCTGCTGTGGGAACCCTGAGTAAAACATAAACCCCAGTTGATTCACAAAAGAAAGTAATTGCTTGAGTGCACAATTAATCAAGAGATTTCTAGCAAATGTGTTCATTGTGTTTCACTCACACCCGCAGATTCAACTAAAATCAACAGAGAGAAGAAGAAATAGAAGCAGCTTACACACAGAAAAGGTTTGCACAGAATTTCAGGTGAAGAAGTTTTAATATTGTTTACTTATCGCTGTGTACTCACGGACAAAGCGAATGTTTTCCGGAAGGGTGCGAGGAGCGAAGTGAGGTTCATAATTGCAAGAGGAACGATCAAACAGGAAGACCAGAGGCAAGTCTGTCCGTCGCCCATCTATCTCCTACAAACACAGATAATAATAACAATGCTAAGCCTCAGTCCATTATTACATTGTGCTGTTGGCTATTCTGTGAAGGTACTGTGTGTACGGTGTTTATGTTAGATATTACTGTGTAATCTACGGCGCATTGTGTAGCCAGTCCATGAGGTTCCAAGGCTAACCCCGCCTCCAGAAGCAGCTCCTGATTGGCTGCAGGGATCTTGGTGTCTTTTTCTATCCTCAGCTGCAGGTCTGCCACAGTCTCATCATCCGCCACTGAGTATGTCAGGATCTTAGCAGACATCATGTTCAGCACATGAACCAGCTGAGGGAAATGAAGAAGGGCCAAGCACATTGCAGAGAGAACAAGTAAATGTGTGCACTGCTGCAGCACTTCAGGCCTTACAAAGTTCAAAATTCAATGATATTTTTGGTTTATTATTGGTGGGGTTTTTTGGTCAACATTAAACCAAAAGAAAAAAAACAAGACAACATGTCCACATGGGGGAACATGGGACAAAATGAAAGAATAAATGACCTTGAGCTGCAGTATGAGCTCCAACTGGGAGAAGCAGTTGCTGGGCGTAGCCTCGGGGTCTTTGCCTCTCTCCTGAGGAGACCACTTTAACATCAGCTGCAGCCACCTCTCCAGTTTCTCTAATAGCAGACTGTCAAACACCAGTTAACACATTAGACTGAGGAAATACACGTTTAAATTAGCTTTTTTTCTGTGTATGTGTGTAACTGTCACAGATAAAATCACCTGTTGAGGTTGTTGGGCTGCGGCAGGTGTTTGGAGAAGCGAACTTCCCCTGTGAGGTCCTCATAAACGACAATATCATCGTCCTGCTTCAGCTTCAGTTTATGGTGCCTGAAAAGGATGCAATTGGAGGGAAAAGCCCCAAAAATGGCATATTTATGAGCATATTTTTTTCTCCATTTCATCCTCAATTTGATCATGATAAATTCCCACCGGAGTACACACCCAGTGGCCTGAAACTGAACCTGAGTTTCTTTGGGAGTATTTTTTGTTTATGTAACCCAGACCCCCTGGAGTTTCCTATCTTTCATCCATCATATTAGCGAGGCACAAGGGGCATTGACGCTGGCACAACCCACATATCCTACAATTCTTTGCTTTGGCAACTCCTTTTTATTTATACATTCCTTGTCACGTACCAATAACATTTACTTGGAATTAGGCTTATCATTGCCTAACATTGAAAAACGTCATTGTTCAGTTTATTTTGCAAAAACTAGACTGGTCACTGAGGTGCAAAAACAAAAACAATTATTTGAGAAGGGAGTAATGGTGGAAATTTTGACATGCATCATGCTCAAAGTTAGTTTTTGGAAAACATGACTTTCTTCATGATGCCTTTTGGCACCAACTTATTTCAGATATAGGAATTTTTGAAAGATGCTATTACCAAGGAACCGGTTGCCAGGTTGGTAAGAAAGGGCGAAATCCTGTGATGCACTCAAACACCAAAGTCCCAAAGCTCCAGTAGTCCACAGTGACCGTGTACTTACGTCTCTCAATGAGCTCTGGAGCCTGGAAGATGGAATGAAAAATACGTTCAGCTGTTACTGTGAAGATGATTGCATGGAAAATGTGTCCACCTGTGTTTTCATCACTTACTAAGTACTGTAGTGTTCCCACAAACGAGGTGCAAAGGCTGCTCTGGTCCAGCTCTTTAGCGTAGCCGAGATCTATAATCTTGTGGATCAACTAAGATTAGGAGAAGAGAAAAGAAAAAAGTTATCCTATAATTACAAATGTATAACTTAATGGAACAGTTTGACATTTTGGAAAATACACTTATTTGCTTTTATACCTTTGCAGGGATTAAACAAAGATATAATGTGTTAATTAGTGAGCATAAGAGAGGTGCTGGAAGTCAGATTTTATTACTGTCTGAGGCTACCTTTTTGTCTTTCTAGCTAGCTAAACCTGTAGTCCATGGACCTATACTGTATTTAACTGTACTGTAATCAAACTTCTCACCAGAAAGTTAATAAACAATTCCTTTAAATTCCAAGACCTGAAGTATACATGAGCATAAATCAACTTTTAATGTGTTTCTGTCCATTTGGGTACACCCTGTTTTTGTCTTTATGACTGGTTCAATTTCTATAAACAAAAGGAGCGTGCATAAACATGAATATATAACCTATTTAATATGTCTGGCTTCATTTATGTAACATTCTTCATTTTTCTGTGTCCTGTTGCAGGCTGGTGGATGACATGATGTGATTTGTTACGTAACGGGCAAAATTAAGGGAGGCCCAGAGAGGAAGGTAAGAGCAAGGCAATACCAAAAGTTCCTTGTAACTGCAAGGATAAGCAAAAGGATTGAGGTTTCCACATTAAATATTCAGTGCAGCAAAGCTGTTCTCTACTGGTGAGGATAAACATATGGACGTGAGAGAGACAAGTCTCTTGCACTTATTCCACATAACCAGCACAGCCTGTATATGACCCCTTTGTTGTGGTTTGGGTGTATCTGTCATAACAAGATGGTTTTTAACTCACTCTCTTCTCTCCCTGCTGCATCACAATGTTTTCTGGTTTCAGATCTCTGTGGATGATCCTCTTCTTATGGAGGTAGGTTAGAGCCGAAGCTGAGGGGAGAAAGAAGAAATCAGAAGAAAGGAAGATTTATATTCACAGTTTATGCTAATATGACAGCTGCATGTAAACTAGAGCTAGACCAATTAATCAGCCTTAAGATATCGGCTGATATTAGAGCTGCAGGCGGATGTATTGGTATATGTGGGGCAATAGGTAAGAAGAAATCAAATACGATCAAATACAGCGAGAGTAGCTGGTAGCCACATGTTTTTCATTCTGCAGGCTGCTCTAAAAGGACACCATAGTTACACAGGATATTTGAGTTTGATTTATTCAAAGCACAGGTAAGACTAAATGGTAGTATTGTACTCCTGTAACAATGCTGAACTCACAAAGGAGAGAGAAACCAGAGATAGTGTCTTTTTTATTCCACACGTTCTTCTTTCTTGTCAGAACCTGGTGCCTACATTACCCACAATGCAACGTGACCAATAACAGTTTCGTCGGAGATTCATGTGTGTTAGACCTGGTACCTCTGTAGATAAAAATGTCTCATTCTATGGTAACGAAAACATAATTTTCAGGTGATTAAACACTAATGAAAACAAACCTGTGAATATTATATTCTATTACTGCCACTAGATCCTCCTAAATGTTACACACCGGGCTATTAAGTCACTCTAAGACCCATAAGAGGATAAGCCTCCTATACACATTCTGTAGCCTTTAATCTGTCGGAGCCAAATGAATAGGTTTCGTCTCAACCTATAATGTCACTTTACTTTGTGCGTCAAAGGGTGACTAGTGTGTGTGCTGGCAAAGATTGTTCAACAAAGTGGAACTAACCTTTGTGGCACCTTACTGTGTGAGCGTGTGTGTGATTGTGTGTGTGAGTGTGTGTGTGAGTGTTTGGGTGTGTGTTTGGGTGTGGGTATGCATGCCTGTATCTTTGCCCTCACTCGTGAAACAGTTTAAAGGGGATCACTCATTATCAGGAAATGTCCACCAGTGGGTAACAGGAAAAGGAGTTTCTGTGTGACTGTGTGTGTGCGTATGTCTCTGTTTATGTATGTGTGTGTGTGTGTGTGTGTGTGTGTGTGTGTGTGTGTGTGTGTGTGTGTGTGTGTGTGTGTGTGTGTGTGTGTGTGTGTGTGTCTGGTGTGTGTGTGCATGTCTTACTCTCCTCTCCACTCTAGATATGTTTGATCCATACCATATGTGTCCTCTCCCAAAGCTGTTTACACAGCATGTAAAATACAATGTGTTGTTGATGTGAGCATTTGTATGTTATGTTCGGGTCAGGGCGTGAGTGTCCAATCGTTGACGTAAGCTTCTGCCTGAGTGTGCGGCGTCACCATGGTGACTAAGACGTTGGTGGTTTAGAGTCACTGATGACATCATAATACATGATACTCACCACCGTGATCATTTCCTCCATACTTCTGATCACACCGCCGGTTAACTCAATCATTCAATCAATGTATCACTCTCACATTCACGCAATTTAAAATCTGGGGATTTGGCCGGATACTCACAAATGTCACATAACAGAATCAGAACGGAGCCCTCCCTCATTCCACAGCAGTTGTCCAAGAGGTTCAGATACTGCAGAAAGCAGAAACACAGACACTTGATACTTAACATGAACCACAAAATAAAAACAATATAAGAGGACACAGTCTTAGCAAAAGGTTCATTAATCTTCTTTATTCTTGTTTTAAAACTTTCTGCACTTCCATTGCACCATAAAACAGCTGTTTTCCATCCATTAAGCACATTGTGTTTATAAGAGATCTGACATACATTCGAGGTCATGAACGGACTCAGATTCAAGCAGAAAACAAACCCAAGCATTGACTTTCTCTAATACATAAATATAACTTTTTCACAAGGATGTGCACACACTAAGAAATCAAGGTACAGGAATGGACCCTAAAAGGGTACAAATGATTTGTCACTCCAGCTGTACACTAGCAGGGTACAAGTAGAAGAAAAGAAGGTACCAAAAAGGGACCATGTTCAAAGGTACAGACCTTTACATTTTTGTACCTTCTTTTCTGTAACTCTAAAAGAGCACCCCTGTACCCCTTTTGACAAAAATTTACCTTTATGTCCCATTGTTCCCAGCCATAAGCTCGCTTCTCTAACCTTTAGGCCATCAGTGCACATTTACAGGGGCTCCATAAAGGAGGCATAAAATAAAGTTAAATAAATAGAGAAAAATGAGTCCCTGTGGAGGAATGCAAAGAATGAGACAATAAAACAGTGATAATAAATAAAATAGAATTGGCAATAATGGTTAGTGGAAGCATTTCACTCTGCTACACCGACAATTAGCTACTTGATTAAATGAACAAAACCACTCAGATAGATCCAGTGTGAAGTTGCCAATACACGCTGAATAAGGGCGTCTAGCCCAAAATGTCCGCGTGGCAAATTTTAAAAAGTTGAATGGAAGTGCGGTCCTAGTTTTTTGCTCATGAAATTATTCCCAGGACACACAGAATAGGAATTGATTGGAAATTTACTGGTAGCTGGTACCTATTTTATTTCAATAAACCCCACTCTCTATTTAACTTAAGCTTGTTAAAAGTACAAATACATATCACTTTCTCTCAGCCATGATTTTGTACCTTTAGAATTAAACGAAAGGTACACAGTTATCACCTTAAGGACATTTCTGTAAAGATGTACCCTTGGGTACAGAAATGATACCCCTATTTCTCTGTGTGCACTGTTGATCTGATTTTTAGGAACATTTCTGGTAGCATTGTTACACTAAAGGACACTTTTTTTAAAACAATATATTTAAAGCGCTCAGCTGGAAACTTGTGGCAGGCCTGACAAAAGAAGATGGTGCAGTTTTCCGCTGTCAGTCCCAACTAACCACTCCATCTGCCCCCAACTCCACCATCTGGGATGCTTTGAAATTTTTATGACACTGTGGTTTGCAGTGGTTGGCATTTTCCTCTTCTACTGGCTGCCTGGTGCCAACAATGTCTATCGCCTCAGGCTGCACACTCAGATTAAAAACTGTTCCAGATTTCTCCACCAGAAGAAGTGCAAACAATCGCCTGGTTATTGGTCCAAACAAATCAGATTCAAATCTTAGTGAAATACAAAAAATATAAGCAATAGTGACAACAAGGTTTACAGAGATCATATTAAATATAACCATAATTAGGCCAGGTGCTGAGCCACCACACGTATTTGCCGCTCCATGTTAATTCATTATGATTCAGCACTTTGGCCCAAAGGTCTATGACTCTAATCCAGAGTCCTAAACCACATATGTGCACACACTCTTGCAAACATACCACAGACTTTACCTTTCTCAGATCCCCTCCCTGACAATACTCCATTGCCAGCAGTGGTAGGTCATTGGTTGCCACCAGTTTCTGCATTCCCTCAGGAACTTCTCTGGCTGCAACAACGTTAACATGATCCAACCTATGTGAGCAAAGATGAGCAGACATCAGTCAGTGGGACGGCACTATGTATCTTATCACATATTTATCACTGCTGCGATATGAGCCAAGGGCTGCCATATTAGACGTGTGACATCTATACATGTGATCACCAAAAAGAAAACCACTGCAAAATGTACAAATCTAGTTCTAGACCAGTGGTTCCCAGTGTTTCTGGCTTGTGACCCATTAAAATTAAACAATGTCGGTTCCTTACCTACTTTACAACTGGTCAATAAGTTGTGAGGAGTTCACCTAACACTTGAATTTTTTTTAATCTTATATGAATATGTTTTAGAGGCCTGAATATCTAAAACTATCCAGTACTGCTCAGGAAAACAGCAAATATAACAGAGTAATATATAAGTCTGAAAAAGTAAGCAGGATTTTGTACAGCAAAAAACTGTTCTGTTGATCCTCATATTTCTCTTGCAACCTCTTGAGGGTCCCTTCCCCAGGTTGGGAACGACTAAGCAAGACGTATGAGCAGATGTCTGCAGAAACGCAACATGTTTTTGTCACTGAATATACCTGCATCACATTAATCAGAGAAGTCTTGCATCTCTTCTCCGTCTTTGTGTCCAACAAATCTAAAATGGCATAGTTTCACGATCACGTCCAAATATTTTCATTAGTTAAATAATAATCTTCCTCTTCACCTTACTCCCTCTGCTCTTTGACCTGCTCTGTTACTTTCTGTTTCTCTTTGCCGCTTCATAACTCTGATTGAAACGTGTTTCTGACTGTCCCAGACAAAGATGTTGATAAAGATAACAGATACCATATCTACCAGGAAGATGATTCACACTGTAACATAACATTGTACAACACGTTACACAATGTGTTATCAGCGATGGCAAGGGAGATAACAAGTGCTACATATACAATCTGATGGAGAAAATATTTAGTTCTGCCTTGCTTACGCTTCACTTGAAAACACGTTTGATAGCGGGGACAGAAAAATAGTTAGAGAGAGTGGGATGAAATTGTGGATATATTATATAATTCTTTTTCTTGGTTTTGACTAAAACATTCAGCTGATGAAAAAGTAATTCAATACAAGCTCTATAAACACATCATAAGTCAAAAAAATTGTGAAAATGATGTGTTTTTCAGCATATGTGTACATCTGCGTTAAGTAGCTGTAATAATATAATGTTAGGTTGCCATGTATGTGTCCCCTGCCCTGTGGTTTTTTCCACAAGTTGAGCGTGGGTGCACGGAAGGGTTGTGGTTGTGACCATGTCTGCCTGAAAACAACACACTTGTTAAACTGAGACTAGGAAAGAAATAGTTTTATGCTCATGTTTGCACCCGCAAATGACAAAAACACACACACACACACACACACACACACACACACACACACACACACACACACACACACACACACACACACCTCTCATCTCACAAACAATCAAAACCCGCATGAGCTGCCATCCAACTCCAGTGACCCGACACCCAAACTGACACTGTTAATAGACAACACAGACACACCAAAAGCAGAGCAAAATGAGGAGGCGGCACATTATCCTGTCAGAAATAACCACTAACAGACCAAAATAACCAAGGCTTCAATGCTTTTCTAATTATTTAAATTTTTACTATTTCAGGATACAGATTTATTTTTCGTATTTTGAGAAAACTTGCGAAACAGATGGGTAGATAAAAGTCAAATGTCAAACTCGTAAGGACGCAGCTTGCCATGGAACGTACCAAGGTGAGTCACAACGCGTCAAACCAAAACTTGCCTCCCATGCCAAAAGCAAAAGAGCTTTAAGAGAAATACTAAAAGAGTTTTGATGGGAAAAAGAAACGGGAAAATCACTGATTTCTTCAGCCGAGGTTAATTCATGCGTCTCAGACTGAGATGCATCACTGCCTAAAAAAAGACCTGGATCTGTTGTAACAGAGAAGGATGAGCATAGGTAAGATGCAGTGGTCAAACAAAAAACAAACAAAATAGTTAGGAAATCTGGTCTCTTTGGACATAGCATCAACACTGTGACTGATAAGGCAAACACACTCTACCTTATCTGGATCTTTAATGTTACCACGATCTTAGCCTTACCTTGTCTGGCCCTAAAGAGACAGTACAGTGTGGCAGATTACCTGAGCACAGTGTCTGTCACTAAACAAAGAACTACCTTGACAAAGTAGAGACTCTGCGAGCACAGCCTGGCCATCGAGACAGGCCGATAATGGCTTCCCACAGTGGAACGGTTCTGCTAGCTAGGGATGGGATGATTTACAATATTACTGCGTATAGTGATAAAATACACAGTGAACTCCCATTATCGTGATAATTATGAATATCCTTGTATGCCTGGACCTTAAAAAGCTGTCTAGCTTGGCCGGATTACTTTCCTATATTGATTTCCCGATTTATTATGAATAAGGGGAAAAGGCGGAGCCTGTATCTTTCCAGTCATTCCAAAATGACTAGAAAGCCTGTCACCATGGCTGGAGGCTCGGCATCCCCCTCACAAAAGGTAAAACCGGATGTGTGGAGTATCGATTCCAAAATAAAGAACAGGGAGGCGAGGTTTCTGTCTGTAATGCAATAAATATGTGTTCCTTGGTAAAGTGATTCCAGTTTGTTTTAGTGCAATTTTAAAAATATGAAGTATGTTTTAATGATTATCGTGATAATATCGAGTGTCTTCATATTGTCCCATGCCTACTGCCAGCTGTGCAAGGAAGACGAGACAGAGCTTCACTTTCTGAAAGAATGCATAAACTCCAGCCAGTCCAAAACAAAACATTTCTCTAAATTCAAACACAAAATCCTTAGCTGACCACATAACCAACATAAACTAAACACCAATCCTGTTGGGAGAGCACAAAGAGAGCTGAAGTCTAACAGCAGATCGACACCCCTCCACACACAAAGCTCACCAATTATCACACACAGAGTGTTTATTATTATTATTATTACTATTATGTTGACATTGTTGCTGATATACATCAGTCACAGACCACAGTCTGCTTCTTGTACTTGCTTATTACATGTTTTTTATTACTGTAACATAATGTTTTATTTCTGATTTGGCCAATACTGTATTTTAATGAATTATTACCTAATTCTGAGGGCATGGCCTGTGTCAAAATCTAGTTCATAGCTTTATTATCTTAGTCAAATATTAAGTTCATAGCTCACGAATACTGGTCAGGGTGTTTTCTGGTGTCCTAGTGGTTAAGACAAATACAACATACAACAGGCACCTTCGTTGTAAGCCATCCCCCTCTCTAAACCATGTTTCCTGTCTTTATGTTCTAATGTAGGCAAACTGCCAGACTGACATCTGGGGGTGTGGGAGGAATATAATGAAGCTGTCATGTGTCTGGTGTGTGTCCTGTGCGTGACTAGTATGTAAAGGTGACAGAGGAAGGAAGGGCGGTGGTTGATTTTAATTTTACCTTTAGTAGATCAATGCATGTGGGATTTAAACTGACCTCTTCATGATCTGGATCTCCAGACACCATCTTTCTTTGTTTCTCTCGCTCAGCTCCTGACGGCACTGCTTTATAGCGATCTGTTCCTCTGTGTCCTGAAAACACACACACAAAGAATTAATGTTGATATTCAGTAGTTAATTTTCTGAATAGTTAATTCAAGAGGCCATAATTAAAGTCAAATCGATTGTAAATCATGATTTAAAATCTGAAGGGGCAAATTAGTAGCAACATTTCTCTGATAATTATTTTCATATTTGATTAATCTCACACATTATTGGTCTTTAAAACAACAGAAAACAGAAGAAAAGGTTCATCATTATATCCTAGAGCTCAAGGTGATATCTTGAAATGCCCTTTTTAGTCCAACCAACAGCCTAAAATAAGAAGAATTGAATATCTAATTTACTTTGATGCTTACCCATTTTTTTTCCACATTTGTTTCTTCATTAGATTAACAACACGATGTTACAGATGCTACATAGCAGTGGAAATGTTTTTTCAAAATTCAAATTAAATGTAAATTCTATACCTAATAACCAATTTGGCTTTAAAAACATTAATTCTTTTCAGGAGGTATTTCTGTTTCATGAAAAACAGGGACAGACAATAAACCATGAGACAGATCCAAATACACAACAAGCTTCGTGACACCAAACACATACTGTAAAAGGCTGCATTCATACAGCACTTCACCCATTCACACACACTCACACACCAATGGCAGCTACTGTACTGTATTATATCGTACACGTGACCACTTTCCAAAAATGATGGGCAACATAAGTATATCTGACTACCTGTTTCTCATGGCATCATCAAGGAAAAGGCATCCACCCTGCTTCCCATAACTGAACTAATCAACTAATAATAGCCCACATTATTGTCATTAACACAGGAAGACAGGAAATTTCCTATGGAGGAAGTTTAGTCATCACAGCAGCAGCAGTGCCCTGACATACCTACTAGTCTGCCTGCCATGGCACTGGCTGTTAAACAATACATCATTCACCCTTGAATGTTATTCCCTTGATTAAACAGCATGGGAATTAAATTATATGACAATCTTAATTTTTTGTAATATATTCTTTAAGACAAGGTAGGCAGTGGTTAACAGATATTTTTTATTTCAAGTAAGTGTTTACATTAAAATCTTTGAAACTTCTTTTCTTTGAAGTGCATAACTACAGTTTCTGACTCTCCATCACTTGTATGTCTACATTCACAAGAAAATGCTGCCTGGGTCAAAGCTAGCTCTAAGTTTACCTGGACTTAGATAAGTAATACAACCCAAGTACAGTTTCAGTAACTTGAGGAAGAGGAAGGTCCACTAAGCGGGGCTTGTTCATATTCCCACAGTGTCCTGTTACTAATGATGCAACTCTACAATGCTCTCCATCCTGTGACTTAGAGTGATATCATTACAGCAGACACCTTTAAACTGGTTGCACAAAGAAGACAGTTTCCTGGACTGATGTCATACCATTTACAAAAAGGGTGCAGGTGAGAATCCCGTTCTCAAATTAAAAAATAAAGACACGTTGATTTAATCTGTGAACTGTTGATCAACGTGATTATTCTATGTATGAATTTCACAAATATCAATATTAACATCAATGAAAAAGGAAACGACTAAAGTGTCGCTGTTACATGAGAACTGGGAAGTTTTGCTCCTGAATACAGACAACAAGCCAGTGATTTGAGGCAGCGGAGGGACAGATGTAAGGCATGAGCCACAATTTTGGTCAAAATTTGTATCCTTTCTCTGAGTCATTCTCAGTCACATCTGAACCCAGACATGATACACATATTTTTAGATTCAAGGTGACTTACACTTTCTGAGGATATCATTATCTCCTCCTTCGCAAATGAACTTCCATAAATGACTCGACATTCATACAAACAATCCTCATAACTGCAGAACTTACCTGACAATCATCACATTTTTAGGTTTTCTTCAGTACCCCAGTGACAGTTATCTGTACATTCATGGTTATGTTGCAAACAGGAACTGCTAACAGCTGCATACTTTTATGGTGCCAATTTGGCAAAATGGATAAAATAAAATTAAATAAAATTAAAAGTTAAATCTAAAGCTAAAGTTGTCGCCCAAACTTGCATGGTGACATTATACTTCCTGATTTAATCCCTCAAAGCCCACCAAATTATGGGAAATGTGGAGCAGCTTTAGCTCAGGGGGCATCCCTTAATCACAGGGTTGGTGGGGGGCACAGCTGCCTCAGTGTAGTCCGTCTTAAGGTTTAGAAAACTGAACTCATCGAGGGAAACACTGAGGCATTCCTTATTGTTGCTGCAAAAATGTATTTCTTTCATTAGTTTTACATATTAGTTTAGTTGACAAAGGCTTGTTTTTACATTTAGATTCGATCAGAGCTATATTCATTTCGATAGTGATGATGATGTTTCTGGGAAAGGTCCCAGATATCCGAGCTTCTTAAAATGCATAATTCCTGGTGCCAAATGCAACATTTTTAACCAATTAAATAGTATTTGCAGAAGGATATTCAGTGAGTCAGTCTACTATCATGTCCCTGACACCGCAGCCACAAAACAGAGACGGTAAACACATACCAGTGTGTTAAAAGTGTGTGGATTGTGTACCTTATTTTGCCATCTTGTGACATTCCCAAACCCTCCGGTGCCCAGTCGCTCCTTCAGCTCCCAGGACCCACAGCTCTGCGGCTGCTGCAGGGGGACTCGATTCATGGCGTCTTCAACTGGTCCTACACCAACACATCAACAGAATAAACTACAGTCAGATTACAGACACGGATTAACTCTTATATCATTACTATCACTAGGGGCAAAATGTAAAGTTTGGCCTAAGGGTGGCCCTAGTGAAAATGCCTTATTTACTCTCCATTAAACTCTGATCAGAGTATTGTGTATATGTATGTAACAAATGTACATCACAGACAGGTCAGGTCCAGTGTTATTAAGCGCTGCCCGTATATATCTGTATATAGTCATGTACTCACAGGCTATTACCAGGCCTATTCATTACTGCTGTGACAGTAAATGCATCAATCTGACTGCTTCTGTGTTTGACTTTATCCTCCACTGTGAATATCGATCTCTGCTCATTATAAAATAATGCATTCAAACACCAAACACTTTCACTTCACTGTGTATGTTTCCTGTTTTCTGGTGTTATTACAATACACTACAACGTACCCGTGTTCGGACTTAATTTCCATGCAGACAAGCGCTTCACCTTCAGTATTACTCAAACTAAATCCTACCTTAGACTTCGTAAGCACGCTTTCACACCTGCTTTTCTTTGAACTCTTTGTGTATCCGGGCTTTAAACGACCTAAACTTTTTTTTTTTACTATAGTAGTAAGTTTTGGCGACACAACATATCTCACAAACTTTCTACTTCCTGATACTCATGTTTCCTGTAAACGTGAAGAGACCCGCCCACAGTGAGGAGGTCCTCGGTTCAGATCTCCAGCTGCTGGTTTCAGGATGATTTGAGCTAGAGTCATGGTTTAGGAGGAATCCTTAACTTGGGCTCTACTTTTGAGAAATACTTCTCAAAATGTCTTAGAAATGTATTTTATTTATATAAAATTAAAATACCAGGGCCTTAGTAACTAAGTACATTTACTCAAGTTCTTAAATTTGAGTTGCTATTTTCACTTTATGTTACTGTATACATTTAAATTCAGAGGGAATTGTACTTTTTACTGCACTACATTTATTTTATATCTTTAGTTACGAGTTACTTTGCAGATTCAGATTAGTAATGAAAATACAAAATACATTATATTATCATGGATATTATTAAGATAAGACAACATTAATGTACATATTAATGCATTAATAATTGTAATTCAATAATGTAAAATACATTATTCTGAAATAGTCTATTCTGCATAATGAATTGTACTTATTTATATATTCTATATTTTCAGTATGTTTTGATGCTAATACTTTAGTAGGTTACTTTTACTTAAGCAGAAGATCTAAGTACTTCTTCCATGGTGCCAATAATAAACTCTGGGTAAGGAGCTGCACATAACCTGTCAGTTATTGGGCCTTACAAAAATGTCTATTAGCTACATGACAAAAAGAGGTGGAGGATTATTGTGCTGTACAAGTGAAGAATGCGTCGTTGCTAAATAAATATATTCACAGCATCAGGATAATCTTTATGTTGTATCCCTGTGTTGCCTTATTTGTGTGTTGTAGCCCAGTGGTACCTAAATGTGGTTCATGGGCCCCTCAGGGACCGTCACTTTGCTTTAGTGGGTCCCGTAGGCATTATAAGGATTAGTTTAAATCTCTAAGTTTAAGAATGGGGTTTTCATGGAGCCTATGGCTGCCACTATTTTGGGAATGGACATAACTTATGCTCAGTATTACAACTTCTCGCTAATGGTTGGATCAATTTACCAATCCAGGACAGGAGGGTCACCTCCTGCCCTCATGACCTGACACCTCATCTTACTGTAAGTATTATTTCACGTCTCCCTCTTAAATCCCTCATCTTTCGTTGTAAAAAAAAAGGATTTCCTATGTTTTTCCAAGGTGGATCTTGTTTTTGTAGAACTGAATTGTAATCACACAGCTGCGTCTCAAATGCTTTGCCGTCACTGTTCTGTAATGGGGATGTTAGGCTACTTACTCAGGTGTACCAGCTCTAATCAGATGCGTTTCCTTGGAGGTTGAGATCAGTTTCATGAAGGTTAAAATACATGGTAAAACTGAACAGCAATGACACAAGATTTTAAGTTCAGTCTTCAAAAAGAGAGTCCAACACTCACTTTTTAGTCTTATTTCAGCTGCGTGATGTGTCTTTACTAAAATCAAATATCAATTTCAGTATTTAACACTGTCTAACTTGACCAGCCAAGCCAGTGTTGATCCAGCGGATGTTGTATTTGGAGAGGATCACTTCAGAATTTCCAGAATTAAGTTTTCATTTCATCACATACTATTCCTGGATTGAATATATAAGTTCAGGTGAGAAAACTAATAACTCACTCTGGTACAACAAACAGACTGACGTTTCTCTGACGTGATCTGTGTGGGTGTATAAGAAGATGCACTTTATCTGGTATTTTATCTGGAACTGTTGGAAATGTTTGTGAGAAAAAAAGGTCTTTCCTGTTTACACTAACAAAATATGGTGCTGCTTCCGAGTCTTTTCCAGTTAGGACAGTGCACAACGGCTTCATGGCAGTCCAAAATAAATGGAACTTATAATGAAAGACTTTTGTTGTCTTATTTAGCTTTGTTTAGTCATGTAAACCTTGTCCGTGGAAATGTCTTAAATGTTGTCCTCAATTACATATTATTACACGACTGTTTACTTCCCACAACGTCCATCTGTTTCAATACCTTTTCAACAGTTAGCTTCAGTTGAACATGTTGTTGCTTATAGCTTACAGACACCAACAGACACAACTGGGTCAAATATTGAGAGACATCTGATATAAATGCCCCTTGATGGACCATCATCTGTTGATACTTATTTGTAATTGTCGATTTGTGACTTGTGAGTTAAGTTTTCCTGCAAACTGCTAACCAAGCTAGCCATTTATACTAGTCGCCTGACATTTTGCCAAATATCCCAAAACGTTGAACTACTGCTTTATATTGTTTTGTGTTTACTCTTTTTTACTTTTACTCTCCTGAATTTCATTTGCTAGATTACTGTGTAGTACTTCCAATGCCATGGGGACTGAACATTAACCTACTTCCAGAGGGACAATGTAACTCATTTGACAGTTTTCTTGTTAATAGGTCTATATTATTTTCATAGAGCCCTGGTGTAACTTTTGTTTTCTGATTTCTGATTTGTAATCCTGTTGTCCACTACCGTTTTCATAGTTTCACAGATGCTTCTGGTTTAAACTCTGAAGGCCAGTTATTTATTGGAAGTGTTTTTAGCTCGCCAAAATGCTGTTAAACTACTTGTATAGTAAGAAGAACATGTTTACAGATTAAAATTATTGCTTTGTAATCTTTAGAATTTGTTTTTCATACAGTGTGTGGCTATAGTGGTAAATTGTTTTGATTTAAAATGTGATATAACCTCAGTGTCACTGCATCAGAGGCTCTGTTGTCATATAAGATAGAAAGCTCTGCATTGTGTCTCTGCTCAAACGTCACCAAGACAGATTCTTCTTCATTATACGTGGCACTTGATACTCTGTTTATGGAGTTAGAGAGTCTTAGTCCAAGGAAAACATTCACCCACACATTAAGACAGCAAACAATAAATGTTTAAAGCAGTGGTTTGTCTAGTTTCTGCAATTCTTCCACAGCATTTACAAATGCCTCTCATCACCATTCCTTGCATAATGTAAATAATGGGCAGTCAAATAAAGGACAGTAGAAATACTTTCTTCATTACTCAACACAAGGGAGGAGGCATGACATAAATGATCAATTGCATTTATTGTAGTAAAGCAATAGAGCATTACTCAAAGAGATATGACTCCTGGCTGTGTTGGGGGAACTTGATTTTATACATGTGCTTTCAATGTATGTGTGTGTGTGTGTGTGTGTGTGTGTGTGTGTGTGTGTGTGTGTGTGTGTGTGTGTGTGTTTGTGTGTGTGTTAATGTGTGATTTTCCTCATCAAGCAGTGGGAGCGCACTCTAATCTAACACAGATGGAAACAAAGAGGACAGACGCCAAGCTAACTACCCCCACCCAATACATCCTCGAGTACCATGTTTTCAGTTATTTTACGCGGAGTTAACACACAGTAAAAACAATGAACATGAATTATCCAATGCTAATAAAATTACTAAGAAAAGATGGAGCTATTCTTGAGGCTAAGTGACTGATTTCCTGAGGACGGATGGGTGGAATAAGGGGATAGTGGTTGTGACTCCTGGTGCCAGCTGGTTAACTGTACTGATGCAGAGTCAGCCACAGCCCATCACAGACTGCCAGAGATCACTGATAGTGTGAAATCAATCAATAATATGCAAGTTTTTATGCCCCTCCATACTTAGTTTAAAATCCCCATTAGTTTAATAATAGTTTTGACACACTGACTGAAGTAAATCACCTCCAAATGACAATATAATATACCTATTGCAGGTACTTTTTACTGTATTTTTGGTGTAAGCTACATGTATATAGTAAATATATATAGTATGTATACTGTATACAGCAGATTATTATAATGTAATATTACAGTTTTATGAGGTTACTTCCCTAATCTATGACATGCATTTCTCTTCTACTGCCTATTGCTGCTTGACAATTTTTTTACTCAATAAAGATCAATAAAGTTGATTATTTCTTATCATAACGATATTTATGACAATCATTATTATGCCTATTAACAATAATCTCTTGTTAACGATATTTTATTTATATTCAAATACATAATACATACATTTAGATATAATGAAATATTCGGACAGGTCCCATCAAGCACCGCCCAGCTGGCTGCATCATCATCCGACCAGCCAGCCTCGCTTCCCCGCTGAGGTCACAGCAGCCCTCCCCCTGCACTCACCGGCAATAAATACTGGAGCAGAGGGTTAACCAGCTCAGTCCGAGCGACAGATCCCAGGGACACTCACACTCGTCCTTCTCTTGAGAAGAACATTTGCAATTTGGTAAGAGCTTTTTTTTTTGTTTTACTCAGATGCGGTCGTGCTTTACATCTATTTATACTAATGCATGAGGTTGTTTTCTGATCATAGCTTTTATTGTAGTTCATTTTGAATCTTTATCTAAAGGATGTAGAGTTCCTAGGTTAGGCTTTATTAATGATACTGATTTAACATTTTGCATGCTTGATATTTAATGTGTCAAGGGGGGAATGGATCTGATAATCTGATACATTTGATGGCATCTGATAAAAGTTAATTAAGATATTTCAACCAGTTTAAGTTGATTAGACCAATTAGTATGGCTGGGTAATATTCAATATTATTGTATTGTATTGTAAGTCCTACAGTTGAATCTTACATAATTAGATAACAGTATGGAGTAGTCTTGACACACATCTTATTTAATTAATAATAATTAAAAAATTAAGTAAACATCTCTTGTGAAAATTAATCAGAAATACAGTAGGGAATATACCTTTAAACAGTAGTGTTACCACAGTGTATAGTAACCTGCAGTTCAGTGTAATTAACAATTAATTCAAGGTGACACACACAGTTTCTAAGGACAATGTAGTAACTATTATGATTGTGGTGATAGTAATTTGTCTGGTTTTACATTAACTGTGTGGGGAACTGAAACTGTGCTTGCTCATTCATTTGGCATCCCAACACTCAACACTCATTATTTACACTCTCCGTTCACATCCACCTGTTCAATCTGTTGAGAATACGACTGTACAAATTCCTTCACAGCATCACACACTCACTCTTCATCCCTTAAAGCTTTCTCAGAAATCAGTAACTTGCTTTACCAAGGTCACATCAAATATTTGTAGCACATAAAAATCTTGATGTTACAAATGTTACAAGAACCTGGTGATATTGTGCTTCACTGCTGGACTCGCTGTATGTTTGTTATCAACATCACTGCTATGATACAGTGTTTTCTCTCAGAATGCATGTGTGTATCAGTGTACCACCCTGTGCTGAAACCTGCACAGGATCACTGACATGCAGACTCTTATCAGGCTAAGGAGTTGGATTTCCTTCTAAGCTGGACTACGTCAGCGCTGATAGTCTCCATCACTCTGACGCTCTGTTCTGTTGCATGTTGAGAGAAAGTAGAGTTTGTATCCATTATCTGCATTCCCGACAGTGTGGTCAGCTGTGTTTGTGGCTGATGTTTGTGACTCACAGCGTGTCTGGTCTGGTTGTAAAGCTGTAAGTTAAGAGTAGGTCAGACATAGAGGGTAGTTCTGGATCAGACTGTGGGAACAATGAGGATGATGCTGAATCCCTCGAGAGTCAGTAATTCAATACTGCAGCTTTCATTTGAATCTGGACAAAAACCCTCTTTCACATCTCTACTCTTCCTATCTGACTACATTTGTGGATTGTGTCTTCATCTAATGGCCTTGATGTTGGTTGTAAATCCTATGAATGCCTCAATCTGTGTCTCTCTCCATATGTCTTGTGCAGTCCTGGAAGCTGGGATGACTCAGGACTACTCACTGTCTTTGTGCTGACCTCTCGGATTTGATTTCATCTCCCTCCTCTTGCTATTTTTGCCCTTCTCCCCTTTCTCTCCTTTCTCTCCTTTCTTTCCATACTTTCATGTTCTTCCACGTAGCTGTCTCATGCTCCATCATCTCCTCAGGTTTATACTCATTTCTATTGTCAACACCTGCTCTTTCTTCTTGCTTCTTTTGGCTTGATGAGCTTGTGTTTCTTTCTGATATGGAATTCAAGGCCCCCCTGCACAGAGGGAAGCTGTAAGGCAACAATACAGCCCTTTGTTCTCGGGGACTTTACAGAGCTGCATCACAGCTGGTTTATTGAAGCTTGACTGAAAACCCCTGAGTTAAGAATGCATAATGCTGGCTAAGTAGCTTACCGAAATGAGATTGCATGCCATAAGACATCATCAGAAAACATATTACGCACATGCAAACCTGTTAACTGAGGGAACAATGCCTCAACTGAAGTTATTGTAAAGGTTGGATCCCAGCAGGTCAAACCAGTTAAAAAACATGTTGCAAGGTTACCGGAAACTGACGATGCCAACATGCTGTGACAAGAGAATGGGAATAGTGTTTACAGTTCAACCCAACAAGTGCTCTCTAAGAAATGTTAAGAAGCTTCAGTGCCAAAGAAAATTGGGCTATAAAAGTGCTGCGATGCTCGCTGTAAAGTCCACCCACTCCAAGTTCTTCATTAAGTGTCAGTTCTGATATTTGCAGGAAAAATAACCATGGCGATGCTTTAAAGTGAACCGTAACTTTGAACCTCACAGGTAGATGCAACTATGTCCCCTGCATGCCGTCTAAGCATTCTCAACGTTTAATACTTTGACTTTTCGGCCTTGTTACTGGAAGACAAAAACGTCTCACCTCCAACCTTTACAACCTCAGCGCACCATCATCATTACACATCCTTGCTAATGGTCCGGTGAACTCACCGCAAAGATGTCAAAGATTGTGGTCAGCACTTAAGATCTGTTGCTTTAAATATGTTCCTGTTGCACACAAATAGGATGAATGAATAACGTTGGTGGAAAACATTAACTATTAGTTTGGACATAAACTCTGTGTGTGAGAGTCTTTTTATGTAGGCTATGTCTGTGTTATCGTCTGTTGCATGCGTTTGCCCGACTGAAGTGGTGCATCTTGAAACTGCTCTTATGAAGCTGCTGCTGACTCACAGTCTGTCTGCTGCTGCTGCTCCAGAGATGTTTTAATTTCTTCCATTCATATTTGACCTACTAGGGGAACCACACTCTCCTCAGGCTGCATACTTGGTTGTACATGTTTCAGCTATTAACTGATTGGGTGTAACAGACAAATGCCTTAACCCTATCAGTGCCAGAGGGACGCCGGTGTCCCGCTCGCTTTGTAAGTTTGTAATTTATTGGTTATGATGCTCTTGTAAACTATTTACATTTACATTTTGACCTTTGACCCTTAAGCAGTCAGAAGGGTTAGTGACGTGGTTTGACTTGAACCTGAATTAAAGGTATTTTTTCAGTAAACGTTTGTGGTTGTTTGGTTGTTGTAAGCCCATATTTGCTGCCAGTTACACCAAAAACCACACAGATATCACAGCTATTACTTTTTATATTTGACACCTTCAGAGTTCTGATAAAACGCATTTTGCAGCAGAAATTCTCCAGGTGAACCTAAATTCACATCAAATATTTTGTTTTTTCAAATAGCTGAAAAGGAAAATGTTACAGTCAAAGCTAATAAAAGATTATGAGATTCAACTCAACAGTTTTTGGTCAGAGAGTCCAAGTAAGTCCACGGTACATAAAACTAAAAGAACAGCCGCAACTTTACTTTGACTTTGGCATGCACATGTTTATTTTGTGTGTTTATGTCTGTTCAAATGCATTAAATGTTATAAGACAGACAGAAAAACACGGCTAAAACTCAAAGGATTGTCAAAGGAGCTGCGTTGATGGCGCCCAAACAGGGCCTCTGCATGTCAGATACCACAGACTCTTAAAAATGGGTGGGATGCACATATGTTCATATCTGATGTGTGCATGTTGCCGTGTGTTTTTGTGTGTGTATGTGTTGATATGTACGCACGTTTCCGAAATGCATGGGGCCCCGCATTGGCTGTATTTTAGCAGGAAACACATGTTTTCAGCTGACAGGGCTGGGGTGAGTGAACGGAGCTGAACAGCTGCACAAAGGAAACAAAAAGGAAACTAGTGTTTTGTTGTCACCCTGCCAGTGAGGCTCAGTTGGGGGGTAAAAACGGGTCAACTGGGTTTTTATCTGTTTAAGGCAAGGATAGCTTTCAAGGGACGTGTTCTCTTAATGGTGAGTGTGAATGCATCTGTATGTGCTTTAAAAGTCAAATCCTGAGATGGAGTCTTTGTGCCAATGAACAATGAGGCGAACGAATAGTAAATCTTTGTGTGTAGGAGTGTTGATTAGCTCCACGTTCCTGAACACTTTGTGTATGTGTGTGAGACAGAGTGTGTATGTGTGTGAGACAGAGTATGTTGGTGTGTATGTGTGTGGTTGCCAGCGTAGCTGTTTTACCTCACTGATATATCAAAACACAGTGCTGTTTTTAATTAGCTCAGTCAACCACAGAAGATGAGTCAGTGGAGAACCAGCCGACAGAGAGGAGTATATGAAACCGTGCAGGCATGTATGCACATGATTCTTCTGTATGTCTGGGTGCTTTGTGTCTGTAGAAGAAGTTTGTTACGGTTATTTTTAAAGCAGCTTGGAAGTTCTTTATGTTGAGGTAATTTTTCATTTTCAACCCTCATTAACTTTATTTTTATTCTCTTTCCTATTTCCCATTTTCCTTTCTACTCCTTCATCCACTCACCCCCTCCTTCATTTTGTGACTCATGTTTACTCACACTTCAATGAGGAGCAACGAGCGCTCTTCTCTATACCTTTTCTCTGCATGATGACTGCTTTAAAACAGAAAGGAGGAACAAGTCTGTTGTTTTTCTGGAAGTATAAAAAGGGAAATATAAGTTTAGTTACTTTTTCTTGCTCTGGGCTTTCCCTTCTTTTCCCTCCTCTTTCCCATTAAAGTCCTCCGTCACTTCATTCCTACAGCTGCTGTTTAGAGAAGGAATGCTGTCAGTATGGTGCAGAAACTTTCTGCTGTGCGTGCTGCCTTTAATCGCTCCAGGGTTGTCCAGATTGTGTTGTTTGATGTGGTGGTCAGCGTCTATTTTTTGCATGAAGTGAAGATAATCTGCCTCCTGTTTATTCCCAGTGGGGAAGTTGTAGAGGAATTGTGATAAAGGGGAAATGAATTTAAGTAGGACCGTAAAGACATATATAGCACAAAATTGTTAAGCTCCTATCAGACTGTCCTACACAGGCTGTTAATTCTTCCTGTCTGAGTCAACACAACTTCAAGAAACTTGAAATGACCTCTGGTTTCCCACAAGCCCCCTACCTTACCCACCCTTTCCTCTCCAGTGGTCTCCCTCAGCAGCAGGAGTAGGGATGGAGGAAGGAAGCTGACCAGAGACACAGTATAGTCAGGAGAAGGTTGATCTGTGTTGATCGGTTTCCTGCAATTGTTGGCTCAGCATTAATGACAGATTCAGGACAAAAGATTTACACGAATAGACATACAACAATCAAATCCATGCTCTGTCACTCACTCGCCTTAATGTGCTTCTCCGTCAGTTCAAGGTCTCACAGTGTTACCAGTGTTTTCATGTTGGTTGTGTGTTTATCAATAATGTTAATATTAGTGGGTTTTTAAAGGATGCAGTTAAGAAGTGCACTGTGACAACTCATTTAAATTGCTGCTAATTTATTATTTTGTAGTCTTTGTAGTGACAACGCAGTAATTTTTGCCAGAATCATATTTCGTGTAATTTTACTCTTTTTAGAACCTCAGTGGAAAGTGTAAAATAATTATTTTGACTCCAAATTTGTATTTTATTTGTATTTATTTAAAATCTTATAAAATAATTATGGATCAGTGCAAATCCAATGGTACTTATTAAAACTGAGTTAGTCTTTTGTGTTTACCACACACAGCATCTCTAGGTATCAGTGCTCAGCATAAGTGTCCGTCTAAACTGTATTAGCTTGTAAAGTCTTTGAGTTGTTTTTAATAAGCATTTATGTTCTACTTTCAGACCACTTGAGTTGAAGACCACTTGAATAGCCATGACACTTGGAGTACTAGTGTTCCTGTCTGCTCTCTGCTGCTGCCTAGCGGCCAATGTAAGTACAACATCCTTGTCACGTTTTTTGTGGTTTATAATCTGTCTGTGCAAACAGTTTAGTTTAATATTTTTGAATTTGTGTGCTTTGAGTATTATGGTGCTTCAACACCCAAGACTTAAGTGTCAGCTGCTGTACAGCAACATTTTACATGCAATAAAGCTACTTCATTTATCTTTTAACTGAAGAAATATTCATTAATTTTCATTTTAACCATTAGATTTTAAAACAATATATCTCATAAACTCACTAATAATGAAAGCAAACTCTCACATCATGTGTATTGGAGCACTATGTTTGTGCAAACAACTGATGTTTGACTAAAACTTAAAGGCCACTAAATGTTGACCGGGATGAACTGCATATGAAGCAAGTTTCAAGTCTCTGCAAGTTTATTTTCACAGTATCCTGAAGAAATTAAATTAAAGCACTGGCTGCCTGGGTAGAAAACCAATGCCATGCAACCAATTCCAATTGTTTAATGCATCTTCTTCCATTGCAGGTGGAGCTGCTCCGCACTAAGAGAGGGACTCGTTTTTACAGAGGTGAGCCTGACAGGCAGCCAGCTAGACGGACCATTTTGATTGTTCATGTCCAGAAGTCTTCACCTTCCTTTGACACTTCCCGTGAGCCCCATCACACTTCTGTTTGTCTTTTCTAATAACACCACCACCATCATCATCACCACCATCACTATCCTCATTGTCACATTCTTTTAATTCATGTTTTTGTCATCCTCTCTGCTGTTGTACCTTAATGTTAATAACCCCTTGTACATGTTACAATGTTGTTACAAAGTTTTTTGTGTGTCTTGCCTGTATACTTATTGTTTGTGTGTGTGTGTGTGTGTGTGTGTGTGTGTGTGTGTGTGTGTGTGTGTGTTTTCTCTCAGTATATTGTGTGGATAGTGAGACGTCAGCTGTGCGTAGTTTTGGGGACTCTTGGCTGCGATGGAGGGGACAGCGTGTGGAGTATTGCCATTGTGCATTAAGAGGACGAGAGCGTTGTCATTTTGTGCCCGTCATCAGTGAGTGTGACATGGATGCATACACACACAAACACATGTGGATTGGCTGACTTGTCTTACTTTCTTGTCTCTTTCTAATCAGACCTTTTTGTTTGGCAATGAGCAGAATATAATATTCTGCTTGTTAATCCGTCTGTCAACCTGTTTGCCTGCCCTTACTGACCTCTGTTGTTCCCTATAACTTCATTTTACCTCTAACTTGCTGTTACGACCTCAGATGATTATTTTTTGTTGGCTTGCCTCGCTCATGAGTCCAAAATCCCTGTTATTTCAGTGCATCCAAATGAAGAGCTGTTGGGTTTCTGGTAGGCATAGTTTAGTCTGAGATTGTTTGAAACACTCCTGCCAGACAAGCCCTCGTGCGCACTTTCACCCCCACTGGTGAATTCTCTGAAGCTTGACTGCCCCTCCCTCAGACAAATTACAACCACATTTTTCAGTCAAACAGCACCATCTGTGAGCTCATACCACTGGGAGCGAGTGGGGTTCTGTTATTCTGAGCGCTAGCCTTTAGGAAATGTTGAAATAATAAATGAAAAACCGGACTGGTGATGGCATAAAACCAGTTCTGCTCTTGAAAGAAACTCTTGGCATGACATGCCAAGAGTTCATGATCATGATCTTTGCGTGATATTTTAAAAGTGAAGCTATGAAGAAGTTTACCAGGATCCGAGAGTCAGGATGAAACAGGCACACAGACCTTTGCATGATACGGAATGTTTCTACGTCAAATGTGACACAAACAAGGCCAAACCCACAAACTGAATGCTCTGTATACGCAAGTGGTCATGGCCAATCAATCGTATTCTGATTGTTTCTGAAGAACTGGATGACGTATGACTGACTAACTGGCTCTCTGTCTGCCCCTTCCAGACTGCTACATGTCTCAGTGCTATAACGGAGGAACCTGTAAAGAGGCTGTGTACACTTCTGACTACATTTGTCAGTGTCCCCCAGGCTTCAGTGGGACTCACTGTGAAATCAGTAAGTACTCAAAAACTCAATCAACTATTAATTATTCAATTAACCTCACAGCTTTTTTCTTGATTAATTTCTCTGTAAAATGTAAAGAAATATTAACATTATAATTTCCCAGTGTCCAAAAAGACAGTGTCTTATTTTGTCTAACAGTCCAAAACCCCAAAGATTCAGTTAACAATTATATAAAACAGAGAAAAAACAACAGATCCTCACAATGGAGAATAGTTGCATTTTTGGTTGATCAACTAATTAATTAATTGACTTTTCAGCTATACTTTAATTTCTTATTTAGTCCTCTGTGCTGGAACAGATATACCCTGGATATTCCACTATGTCTAGTATTTGGGTTTGCATATTTTTTTAATTAACAATAAACTCAGTAATGTCCATAACAGGGTGGCTGGTGACACAACACTTATTAAAACATTCTACGAACTTCTTAATGACACTAGATAAAGTCACAGTCTGACCGTGTGACTCATGCAGTAGGTGTCATGGGCCTGTGGTTTGGACGGAAGAAGAAAGGATCATAAACCATGGAAAGACATTCTGGGATATGAATGTTTTTGTTTCTGTGGGCGGCTTTCTGAGGCTTTAGGGACACCCCACCCTCTCAGTGGGATAATTATGCAAACCCCAATGGTGACAGCCAAGTGATTTCAGCGAAAGAGTAATGAGTTACAATGGCCAGACTCAATAAATCTGATTGCATTTACAATAATCATAGTTTATGTTTGGTCATTGTTTTAAACCACTAATTGGAAAACTACTATATAAATGCCATTAGGACACAAGTTGAGAGTTTAATGTCTTGTATAAGAAATAACAATGTTTCCATAATTTGTCCAAATATTTTGGAGTGGCTGGAAGTTTTTCCAGATCCAATAAAAATGCTTCATGGTGACAGAATTAGAGTGATAACAGTCTCAAATAAAAATGATACTACATGCAGTTTAACATGGTCTCTTTCTTCAACAGACACCAATGAGAAGTGTGCAGTGGGGCAGGGTGAAGGATACCGCGGCACATGGAGTATCAGCAAATCAGGAGCAGAGTGCATCAACTGGAATTCTACATCTCTGAGAGGAAAGAAGTTCACGGCTAGAAAAGTGGACGCCAGCAGTCTTGGACTGGGCAATCACAACTTCTGCAGGTATGTAAGCAGTCTAATCTGTTTAGTGTCGGAGCATCTGTAGGAATAAACTGCAAATATTCAGTTAAATCAAGGAAGGTGTCTGAAAATCCACCTGGTCACATTTTTTTGATTAACGCAGGAATTATGCACTTGACACTGTATTCTGGCATTTGATTAAATGAACTGATTGATCTGGTTGCGGCTGAAAGTGAGAACATCTTATATTGAAAGGCATAAACTAATCCACCTTCTTTGGAACAGCTCAGTTTCCCAAAAGTATGACTCACAAACAGCGCAGGAAAATTAAAAGCAAAGTTTACAGGTCAAAAAGGCAGACAGAGTCAAAAGAGTATTAACAGACATGGACAAGAAACAGCCTAAAATTCTCAAGTACTATGACTCAATAGACTATCTGGCCAAGAGTAGGTGGAAATAGGCTTATATACCAGGACACAAAATGCTTATAGGATCTGGAATGACAGGTGAATTAGTGACTTTGCAGGAAAAAAACTGAACATGTTTACTCACTGCGCTTGCCTTTCTTTTCCCCTTCAGGAACCCCGACGATGACAGCCTTCCTTGGTGTTACATCTATAAAGGCACTCAGATCGTCTGGGAGTTCTGTTCCATGCCCAAGTGTCCTGAAGGTATGGCTTTTCAAAAAAGCTAATAAGCTAAAAGACTAATAATAAACCAATGAATTGCTTTAACACTTGGTTTTGCTGTGTGTTTTTGGAGCAGATAAGTACAAACAATGTATGCAGGGCTCTGGTCAGTCATACAGAGGCACAGCATCTGTCACCAAGAGCGGCTCTCGCTGTCTCCCGTGGGACTCCCCTGCTTTGAAGCGCAAGCTCAACAATGCCTGGAAATCTGATGCACTGGAGCAGGGGCTGGGCAGCCACAACTTCTGCAGGTAGAGACACCAACACACACATTATGATAACACATGAGAGGTTCTCCTTACATGGAGAAAGATAAAAACAACTCAGGTTTTCATTGCATTTCCTCTTCGTTTATCTAATAGGAATCCAGACGGTGATGACGGTCCATGGTGTCACACCTATAAAAACATGCTGCTGACCTGGGAGCTGTGTGACATACCTAAATGCTGTGAGTCCCCTCACTATCATGGTTTAATGAAGTCAAGAAGTCAGCTACCTGTTAGAAGTGTATGAACTAAAATCTTCCACCCAAACTTGTCTCCTCTTTTTTAGTGAGACGCCCATCTACCATCACCACTTCTGGCCCGCGTGCCCCCACCACTAACAACAACAGAGGTAGGGCATCTTCACATCCAATGAAAATCACCCAGAATGCATCACCTCTGATGTGTATAGAGTGTTGTAATTTTACTGTCATTTAACCATCATCCTGCAACCTCTCTGTAGCAACATGTGGGCAGCGTGAAGACAACACCTTGAATCGACCGGCGTTCCGCATGTTTGGGGGCAGAGAGAGCAACATCACGGAGCAGCCGTGGCAGGCGGTCATTAATGTTTACCAATCCCGTCTCAGGAAACACTTTCACCGCTGTGGAGGAGTCCTCATTGACTCCTGTTGGGTCCTGTCTGCTGCACACTGCTTTGAGGACAAGTAAGAATGACTGACATCCTTCACACATGCACAGAAACTACAGTAATGAACATGTTTGCAGCATACAAACACATTCCCTATCTTTTTCAGTGATAAAGCAGAAAAACTGGAAGTCATTTTGGGAAGAACGTTTCGGAAACAGAATTCCAGCAGCGAGCAGATTTTTAAAGTTGAGAAGTACTGGATCCATGAGAAATTTGACAACGAAACATTTGACAATGACATCGGTGAGTGAACACTTAAAGAGACAATAATCATGTAGTTGGTTCAGTTTTATAAATATAATATTATGTATTACTGTGTTACTTGTATCATTAAAATGCCAGATTGTCATAAACTAGCATTTTAAGTTTTAGCACACTATAAAGTGAATGATGAAAATGAAATGAGACACCTGGCAACAATGTTTTCCCCCAGCTGTGATGATATGGAACCTTAAGTGGGCTGCAAAGGCTTGTTAAAACTTTAAATCCTGCCTCAGTCTCCATCCCACATTTCCCCAGTGCATTACCCTGACTTTCCTCTGGTCACGTTCCACTTGCAGCTCTCTTGAAGCTGAAAACGGACATTGGCATCTGTGCTATAAACTCTCCAGAGGTTCTTCCTGCGTGTCTGCCTGAACGTGGGTTGGTGCTGCCCGACTGGACCGAATGTGAAATCTCAGGTTATGGAAAAGACTCTGAATGTAAGCAAACGTCCTGCCTGATTCATGATATTCTAATTTTGCATGGCCACTATTGCCGCAAGGTGAATCTCACACACAAGCTGGTCACACTTACTTGACTGACCAGCAGAGGGCTGTAAAAGCTTGAATTGATCGAAGCACTAACCGAAACACTCTTTCCACAGTTTCTGCACAGTTCTCTGAGCGTGTTAAGAGAGGTTATGTTCGCCTTTGGCCCAGAGAGCGCTGCGTCCCAGCTGTTCTGTCTGGACGCACAGTTACCTCCAACATGCTGTGTGCTGGTGACACCCGAGGCCTGGATGACGCCTGCAAGGTGAGAACGCCTGACATTAACACTTAACCTCCTCCTAAAATAAATGCTGTTGACATTATCTAATTCTTCTTTCCCTCTCTCCATTTTGCTTCTTGGACTTCGTCCACAGGGAGACTCCGGTGGCCCGCTCGTCTGTCGAAACAATGACAAGATGACTCTGATGGGTGTGATCAGCTGGGGCGACGGGTGTGGGCAGAAGGATAAGCCTGGGGTCTACACCCGTGTCACCCATTACATCGACTGGATCAACGGCAAGATTAAGGCAAACCCGGTCTAAAGTAAGGGAGGCTGCCAAGAAGATATTGTTGGATGACCATACCCATAAACACAGTGGGTAGAGCAGATCTGTTTATCATTGAGAAGATAGACGAAGAGAAGACTCTGTTCTGTTCAGGGTTTATCTGTTGATCTAAATTCAAACTGAGGTTTTAAACCAGCCGAACCACTCCTACAGAGAGGCACAAGAGGGACCACAATCATGAGTTTTTCATGCTCAATGTATGTTGAGCTCCATGGTCTCTTCTTTACTGTGTTGAATGTGACAGTATATATGGACAGAAACACAGGACAAACCCTTTTTTCCTCCTCCTGGGCCACCTCGATCTTAATAACATTTTTTTATACAAAGTTTTAATGTGTTTTCTCATTCACCAAACTGGAGGATCAGGCAGGAAAAAAGGAAATATCAGTTTGTTCCTCTGCTCTTTCTGGCTGGCTTTATGCTGGTTTATAGACGAAGTCACAGCGGTAGACTTCAGGTCAGTAGCACTCGACATAAGCATTCACTTTGCACAGTACAGTAACTCACATAGGAATGTACGCATTTTTTAAAGTTTTGTGCAAAGATTATGTTACAGTTAGTTTGGGGCTTGAGGGTTTCCAGACCTGCACCCAAAAGACAGAACCTATCTGCTGGTTCAGATTCTGCTTGTTTTTGCAGTTCTAGCTTGCTGCCGCCTTGTAGATGAGAATAGATTTGGACAGGTGGAAGCAGGAAACTCTGAGAGACTCACTCCATTCAACAAACCTGTGTCCTGTTTCTACACGTCACTAAAGAGGAAGAACATAATCTCACTTGTTCTCCACTAATTCTTTTAACCAGATTTCCAGAGCACTTCTCCTCCAGACACCTGGGTTGAGCCCAGCAGTTATATTGTCTGAATATTGATTTAGTATTGAAAATGTTCTATATTAAACTGCTTATTGACTGCAAAGCTTATCTCCTTTGTTCTATGACTGGGTTTTACATGTTTTGTACTAAGTTAATATTTATATGTATTTTATATTGTTTTGGATAAACTACTTTTGGACTGTGTGTATTGTAGTTTAATAATTTATTGTCACTGTAATTATAACCACATCTAGCAACATACTCCTTTGTCAATAAATAATGTTTGGAATACATTTTTGTATGTTTCATGCTTTTTGACATTTTGGTATTTTATCGTCATCAATAAATTACTGATAAATTCATTACATCATGACAGGTAAAGGACCACTAAAGGAAAAAAAGGCTCAGTTTATCGGCCTCTGAATTAAATTACGCTTCGTTGAGCACATTCCTTGGTCATGACTATTGAAACACTGAGTTGTTGAAATGTACTTTATCTTGTGGACCTTGCCAGTACCCGTTACTCATTCAACAGTGAAAATTTCAAAATAAAATGTTATCAATTGAGAAACAGTACGCATTTCACTCATTTGAATGAACGGCATTCAAGGTCAAGGTTCAATGTGTTCATCTATAAAACATGGAAATGATATTGCTCCCATCCTGATCAACCAATGTTTACCAAAACATGGAAAATAAATGCCAATTAAATAAAGCCACAGATAAAAATAACAGGAAACTGCATTTGATAATAAAACTGTAAAGAACAGCATTCAAATTCAATATAAATTACAGTTTATATCCTGGTTGTACTATAACAACAAACAAATTCCCATGTAAAATTGAATTAAATGAAATCTAATGATCCTGTGTGTAACTACATAGCAAATCATGTGATAGTTACCCTAACAGCAAATTATTTCTTGGAGCCAGTAAAGTCAACCTACTGTACAATACTTTCACCAGTAATGAATATGTGACGATATTGAAACCTACACTCAGTGGGCAGTCTTTTAGGTACACCTAACTAAAACTAATGCAGTCTAATACAATAGACCTGCAATAAATCTCCCCTTCATGGAGGTTATAATGTTGTTGTTGATGTAACTGTGTGGTTGTTATTGAGGCTGCAGTTTGTGGTGCTGTTGAACCGTAGCTAAGTGTACCTGATAAACAGGCAACAGAGTGTATGTAGCAGATAGTTTGTTTCATTTGAAGTGCACTCAGCACACACTTTAGGATCATTATTGCTCACTTCTTGTAGTTTTAAAGGTGTAAAATACAGAAAGCTCTGTGTGTGACAAGTTGACAAGTTAGCTTACTTGCCTAGCTTAATTAATGGGATGTGTGTGTATCAACAGTTAATAATTAATCCCCCCCCCCTTCGCTAGCAAATAAAGTACAAAGTAGATGTTATTTACCAGTTGCAGCAAATTATGTCAAATTCAGTTGGTTATATGGTCATTAGCAGGTTGCAGTAGGGGAATTCTGAGGCATGTTTTTTGCTGTGCAGTGGCTGCAGCTCATTTAAAGGCAGGCAGTCCTGCAGCAGGTGAGACTGTCTGACACAGGTAGGAAATGCAAATGAGATCAGTTAGAGCTGCTCTTCTCTCTGTATCGCTCACTTTTAATCATCAAAACCATTTGCATCCAAGAACCCGAACAAAGACATTTCCTCATGACTTGAGCTGCAAGACTCGACCCTCAAATCATGACAATGGTAAAGTACCGTTTCATTTTGGTCATATTTTGGTTTCCATTCTGGTAACTTTGGGTGGAGTGAGAAGGAAGTGAGCAGGTGTTGTCGACGGCAGAGTGTTAGTGCTGCAGAGTCCTCTGTAAACCCTCCATGTTGTTACTTTTACTTCAGCATTTTAAAGCACTGAATGGGGCAAAGATTTGAAGGCAGCAACACTGCTGGAGTTGTGATTGTAGGGGAGTGTGAAGACAAACAGTAAAACGAACACAGATGAGTGTTTGCAGATAACCATAAAGTAAATACTGCACACCTACAGAATTAAGCTTTACTACAGAATAAAGTTCTCTGAAAGGCCAAACAAGTTGGTTAAACTTTCTTTTGTTTGTCCTCCATATAATCAGTTTCTTAGTTGAATTTATTAGATTTTAATTACAAAATTGAATCACAGTTTAAAGCTGCTGTTTTTGATGTGCCACTTTGTCTAAAATTTAGATTAAATACTTCCTTTTTTTACATGGAATAATTAAGGTGTTAAAACCCTTTGCAGATATCAAATTCAAATATATTTTAAATCTATTAAGCAAAAAACCCCGAAAACATTAACACGTTTGTTTTGTTTCCAGTAGACTGAATAGTGTCACTTCTACTTACTTGTATATAGCATCAGTGAGCTGCCTATTTAGCTTGTCACTTTCCCATAATGCATTTCAGACTGTTTTTCAGTAAACAAGACCATGCGGTAGTTTGGAAGTTGTTCAGAGAAGGTGCTGGAGCTCAGTCTACAACATTTCATGTAGTGAAAAGTTAACTTATTTGATAACAAAAAAAATGACAGACTCTGTTTCTCTGATTCTAAGAGCAGTTTATCTTTTAATATCGGTGGAGATCTTTCTGTACGGTTTTAATTCTGTTGTCATAACGTGTTTGCTCATATAGTTTTCACTGTCTACCTTATTTGGTAAATTTACACCATAAATAACATTGTGTATAAGTGATATCTAATGACAGGCGTATTCTCAGATTGGGTTTTGGTATAATTTTAAGAAAACAGATCTATAGTCTCGCGTGACCCTTTTTGCTGATCTGATATGAGTTCAATTTCCCTCTCGTCCAGCAGATAAAATGTTCCCTGTATGGTCACCTGCCTGTGGAGTTAGTGTAAATACTAATATTCAGCACTATCTTAATATCTCTGTCAAGTATTAACATTAACAATTACAGCACATTAACACATAACTTATTAATTCATATTATTAATGTCTAATGTAACTAATTGTGAGAACACATATACACTATTTCTATTGTCTGAATAGTGAAACATTTGAATGATGCTAATGAGTCTTTTCCTTGTTTGCATCAGATTTAACGTCATGGTCACATGACTTTTTCCTTTTTCCTCCTGTTGGCCTTTTGGACCACTGACAACACTTTTCACTGAGACTTTATAGGTGTTTTTTATCCGAGAAAAGCAGGTAGCAACACTCAACACTGTAGTCAACAGAAAGCAGAACACTGTCACAGTAACTTGAGCCGTCCTTCAACAACCACCTGCTCCTCATTTATCAACAACAAGTTAATAAAAGCAACTGTTTTCTGACATTTTGTGTGAGAGATAGAAACTCCCTCTCTCGTCTGTCTATAATAATTTACTTTACACCAACACTTCCTCTATGGCTGCCTGGCACTGTGGGAAAACAGATACTGTTGCTCCACTTCCTGATTTCGCTTTACGTGTCTATTTATCCCCACCTCCTCCTGCCAACCTCAGTCACATCCCTGCAGATGAACTTTGCTGTGTTTTAACTGATAATGTTAATTCATTTCTGCTTTAAAACAGCATCGATGGTGAATTATCTGCAATCCAAAGTCGGAGAGATACAGTTCATGAGAATAAGATACACATGGAATGAATAAATTACAGTGAGAGCACTGAAACTCTGCCCTCCTATTTAACATAAGCATGTGAAGAAATAATCAGTGGTGGAAGAAGTATGATTTACTTCAGTAAAAGTGGTATTACCATACTGTAAAAATACTTTGTTGCAAGTAAAAGTCATTCATTCAAAAAGTGCAAAAGCATTAGCATCAGAATATATTCAAAGTAACAAAAGTTCGAGTACTCTTCATGCAGAATAGTAACTGCTGGGTGGATTATTAATTTACCCCCAGAGATCAATAGTCTTATCTTAATATAGTATAATAATACATATTAATTATTAATATTAATATTATTGTACTGTACACAGACATACTGTACATAACCACCTACAGCATGCTTATAAAATAACCTATTAAATTAACCATTCAGTATTTCTTCCAGCACTCTTACACCAACACACACCTGTGCACTATAGGTATACTTGTTTACAGAAACAGTTGTATGTATGTTGTTCTCCCTTCTTGTTTTTATATATATTTATATATTAATCTATCAAATACATCAATAAAATCTTTACACATTATACTGTGTTTTACAGTATTCTTTCAAATGCTATATAAAGTACACATAAAGTGTTACCTTGTACTTTTTTTTACTGTACTAAATCACCTTGTGTACTGAATAAAGCTATATTGTATTATCAGGATGACTTTCCCCAAAAAGCACCCACTGACTCATGTCTGAAGATGAAGCTGATAGATAACTAAAAGTGAATGATTACCAACCAGGCATGAAACAGTTGATGTTAAGTCTGTGGAAATGTATCTGAGTTTCTGTGTTTTTCAGAGCTTCTTTGGAAAACTGAAGAACCTGTAAGTATTGTGGCCATGAGCAAAACCTAATTAGTTTTACTATAAACGTAATATTCATGAAATAAAATGGTATTCAGCATCTTACCTCTCCTCTCTCTGTCAGACACAGTGGACCTCCAGCTCCTCCCAGAAGGACAGGTGATTTGACCTCATCTTTAACTGAGTGGGAAAATATTTTGATCCCTCCTGTCTTTGTTTCATTACTGGATTACAAACTTTATCTATCAATGTCTGTTACAGATGGCAATACAGGATGGCCACAGGATGAGTTTGTAAGTAGAAAGACAACAAGTTCCTGAATCTGTGCTTTTATCCAAATATTATTAAAGGTGCTATTAAAGGACTAGTGTGTAAGATTTAGTGGCTTCTAGCTGGCATGGCATCTGTAAACTGTCTCATTCCTATATTCAGGTAATTATACACTGATGAAAACATACCTATAAATATAATATTACATTTCTACCAATAAATCCTCTTAAATGTTGGACCTTTAGAGGTAGAATTTAATAAAGATGTTTAATAGTATTAAACATCTTTATCGCATTATTATATCGCATATTATGACATGAAGTGTTTCACTTTTTATTTTTGCTTTACTGAGGAGGATTACTATTTTTATCTTTTATCATCATAATATAATTTTTCTATTGGCCTTTCCATCACTCATCAACCAAAGCTATGCTGCTATTATAAAATTCAGACACAGAGCTTCCAGTCTTGTTAACTGAAACTATGATACACTATACAGGATGATGATGACAGTGACATGTATGAAGCGCCTCCCTGTGAGCGTCCGGCTGTGAAAGTGCCACAGAGACAAGTGGAGGAGAACGTTTACCTG